CCCCAAGATGGCATTCATTCTGAATACCCCTTCCTCTAATCTGCCCTCCCTTCTATCTCCCCCCCTTCTCTTATCCCCTTCATCTTCTATTTTCCTGTAGGGCAGGGTAGATTTCTATACCCCATTTCCTGTATTTCTTATTTCCCAGTTGCATGTGAAAACAATTTTTAACATGTGTTTTTAAAACTTTGGGTTCCAAATTTTCTCCCTTCCTCCCACCCCACCCACCCTCACTGAGAAGGCAAGCAACTCGATACTTGTTATACATGTGTAGTCATGCAAAACACTTCCATGGTAGTCATGTTGTGAAAAACTAAGTATATTTCCCTTCATTCTATCCTGCCCCCATTTATTCTAGTCTCTCTTTTGACCCTGTCCTTCCTTAGAAGTGTTTGCTTGTGATTACCCCCTCCCCTAATCTGCCCTCCCCTCTACAATCTCCCTGCTCTCTTGTCCCCTTCCCCCCCCATTTTCCTATAGGGTAAGATAGATTTCCATACCCAATTGAGTGTGTATGTTATTCTCTCCTTAAGCCAAAACCTATGAAAATAAGATTCACCTTCCCCCACTTCCCCTCCACTGTAAAAGCCATTTCTTGTCTGTTTTATGTGAGATGATTTACCCCATTCTACCTCTCCTTTTCTCCTTCTTCCAGTATAATCTTCTCTCAGTCTTTAATTTTATTCTCCAGATACCACCCCTTAATCTTCAACTCACCTTGTGCCCTCTATCTATCTATCTATGTGTATATATATATACACATACATAAATATAATTTTTCCCTCCAACTACGCCAATACTGACAAAGGTCTCATGAGTTACAAATATCATTTTTCCATGCAGGAATGTAAACAGTTGAACCATAATAAGTCTCTTACAATTTCTCCTGTCTGTTTACCTCTTCATGTTTCTTTTGAGTCTTGTATTTGAAGTCGAATTTTCTATTTAGCTCTGGTCTTTTCATCAAGAATCTTGAAAGTTCTCTATTTCATTGAATATCCATTTTTCCCCTGAAGGATTATACTCGGTTTTGCTGGGTAGGTGATTCTTCACTGTAATCCTATCTCCTTTGACCTCTGGAATATTATATTCCAAGCCCTCTGGTCCCTTAATGTAGAAGCTGCTATGTGTTATCCTGATTGTGTTTCCACAATACTTGAATTGTTTCTTTCTGGCTACTTGCAATATTTTCTCCTTTACTTAGAAACTCTGGAATTTGGCTACAATATTCCTAGGAGTTTTCCTTTGGGGATCTCTTTCAGGAGGCGATTGGAGGATTCTTTCAATTTCTATTTCACCCTCTGATTCTAGAATATCAGGGCAGTTTTCCTTGTTAATTTCTTGAAAGATGATGTCTAGGCTCTTTTTTTGATCATGGCTTTCAGGTAGTCCAATAATTTTTAAATTATCTCTCTTGGATCCATTTTCCAAGTCAGTTGTTTTTCCAATGAGATATTTCACATTGTCTTCTATTTTTTCATTCTTTTGGTTTTGTTTTACAATGTCTTGATTTCATTAAAGTCATTAGCTTCTAATTGCTCCAATCTAATTTTTAAGGAAGTATTTTCTTCAGTGAGCTTTTGGACTTCCTTTTCCATTTGGCCAATTCTGCTTTTGAAGGCATTCTTATCCTAGTTGGCTTTTTGGACCTCCTTTGCCATTTTGGTTAGGCTATTTTTTAAGGTGTTATTTTCTTCAGTATATTTTTGGGTCTCCTTTAGCAAGCTGTTGACTAGTTTTTCATGATTTTCTTGCATCACTCTCATTTCTCTTCCCAGTTTTTCTTCTACTTCTCTTATTTGCATCTCAAAATCCTTTTTGAGCCCTTCCATGGCCTGGGACTGATTCATATTTTTCTTAGAGGCTTTGGTTCTTCTGGTTGTATATTTTGATCTTCTTTGTCACCAAAGAAAGATTCTATGTTCTGACTTTTTTTTGTGCAGTTTGTTCATGATCTCAGCCAATTACTTGAGTTTTAAACTCTTTGTCAAGATAGGGGTCTCCTTCCAGTATGGAGAATGTACTGTCCCAAGCTTCAGGGGTTTTGTGCAGCTGTTTTCAGAGATACTTCTAGGGACCTGTAAGCTTTCTTCCAAGATGGTATGATCAAGGGTGAGGTGTTTACTACTTTCCTGACCTGTGCTCTGGTCTATGAGTGACCACAAGCATTCTTTTCTATCTTGGAACTGTGAGGAGGATTCCCTCTCCACTACCACTACAAGCTCCACCACACCAGCACTCCTCCTCACCCCAGGACTGCCACTCAGAACTGTGACCCAGATCCAAGTACAGGCAAAGCAAGAGAATCCTGCCTCAACACCAGCAAAGAGATCCCTACAATCCCCCTCTGATCAGCAACTCAATTCCCCCTCAGTCTGTGAGCTGAGCTCTGGAAGCAACGATCAATCACAATCACAGACTTTTCCTACTGATCTTCTAATTTGTCTTCGGCATCTGTGGGTTAAGAAGTCTGGAAACCACCACAGCTGCCCATGATTCAGTCACCTGAGGCCTACTCCAGGTTCTCTGAGGCCTGGTCTTTGCCTGTGTACATGCTGAACTGTGTTTCTCTCCCAGCCCAGCATGATAGACCTTTCTAATCAACCATCCAGGTTGTCTTGGCCAGGAAATTTGTTTCACTCTGTCTTTTTATGGGTTCTGCTGCTCTAGAATTTGTTTAGAGTCATTTTTACAGGTATTTGGAGGGTTTTGGGGGAGAGCTGAAGCAAGTCACTGATTTTACTCTGCCATCCTGGCTCCGCCTCCATCTAAGACTTTTTAAAGGTTACCAGGGATGTGACTGCTCCTTTAGCTAGTCAACAGCTGCCTGATAATTGCATCAAGTTGATAGAAGACTATCTTCATACCTCCTAAAGAATCAAGGATGTGTCAAAACTCTTCTACACTTCCTTCAAAGCTGTTAATTGGACTTTCAGTTTAACACCTTTAATTATCTGCTAAGGGTCCACTCAGGGTGTGAGCCACTCAAAGTCACACATATTTTACAAAATACAAAGTGATACTCAAAATGTGAAAAGGATACAGCCTAAGATTGCATATTATGCAATCTTATCAAGTGGTCTGAAAGTACCAAACTGATCAGGAGTCCCATGATCAACTCTCTACTACAATATTACCATATGTTATATCAGATAGGTTCATCATTTCTGCAAGCAAATTCAAGAAGAAACATTCTAGAATGTTCTAGAAGATGTAATTACAAAATACACATACACATATAATATAGTCATTTATAGTATATATACTATATATATGAGAGAGAAAATGTCCTATCTGAAAGAACATCATAAATGTATATAAAAAATTAAATAACATTAAGTAAACAAATTCTTAAGAACAAAAGACAGAAATGTGAAAAATAGTTCTGATGTCAAGAAAAGATAAAACTAAGACAATGAAACAAGGTAACAAGATTCCCCAATTATAAACAACTTCCTAAGAGTGAATTAGGCATTTCTGGAAGCCAGATCAACTATTTCAAGGAAATAAGGTATTATTTTAGGCCACTAAAGGAGGAATTTATTAATTATATCTAATGAGTTTATAAAATGCCTAAATCACTCTTGGGGTACAATGTCCACATTCAGGGAATATGATTTAATAATAATAGTAATTGTGATAACAATACATTTCCATTATCATTTATTCTACTTATATAGCTTTCCTAATTTAGGAAAGCAGGAAATTTTCTACATGACCCCAGAGGGGAGAATTAGAAACAATGGGTAGAATTTGTAGAGGCAAATTAGGCTGGATGTAAAAGAAAAAATCCTTAGAAATGGCCTGCCTTGGAAAATTAGTGGTTTCCTCCTCACTGGAGGGCCTTCAAGTTGAGACTAGATGACTGATCAGGGATATCATAGAAGAAATTCCTGATTGGGCCAAAGGATTAGATGCAAAATGTCCAAAAATGAACTGATTATCTTTCCTCTTAAAACAAAAATTCTTAACTTTTTTGTGTCCCGGACCCATCTTGGCTATCTGTTGAAACCTATGGACCTCTTCTCAAACTAATATTTATACAATTCATGGGTTACAAAAGAAACTAATTATATTGAAATACTTATCAAATTTTTTCTAAAATCAAGAATAGTTTAAGAAGAAAGATAATTAATTCAGTTTTGCACATATTACATTTGTAGCACCTATTCTGTGACTATTTTCTTTACCTCCCACTCACATTGGTGGTCTAACACCCCAGAAGGTATCTAACTACATCCCATAGAGCTACAGGGGTAGCATGAGTATCTTGCCACAATGAACCTAAATAACAAAAAAAAAAAAATCAAATTGTTTTTCTGCATCTGTTGTCTTTGAAATTTTAGGGTTTTCTGCAACACACCAAAGCATAAATTTAAAAATATACATGTTATTATCTATGTCATATAAAATTCTTATAAGAAATATGTGTTAATTATATCCTTTGGCTGAAATTTCTATAACTATAAAATGAGGGAGGGACTAGATGATGTCCAGTGGAAAGAGGATCAGCTGGGTTTAAATCCTAACTCTGATTCTTACTATCTGTATCACTTAACCTCTGTGTTCCTCAGTTTTTTCATCAGTAAAATGAAGGGATTAGACCAAATGACCTCTGAAGTCCCTTCCAGCTCTAAATCTATGATCCTATAATGCTATATATCAAAAGTCCTTTTCAGCTTTAACTTTCTATCATTCTATTTCAATAGCATTAAATGTGAGAATCTGAGTTCCTTTAGCTAATATGATACTCAGTATCATAGGATTCACAGGGTCATAGATTTAGGGCAGGAAGGAACCTTAGAAATCTGGTCCAAACCATTCTTTATACAGATGAGGAAATTAAGGCACAAAAAGTTTAAGTGAATTGTCCAAGGTCACACTTGTCTATTTCAGAGCAGGGATCTGAACCGAGGCCCTGTGTGCCTCCATTTTAATTTCTGTTCATAAAGCTGCAGATTTTAAAGACTATCTTTGTCTGAAATCAATCCATTACGGACCTTTGGCATGGTGATCACCAGGTGTCCAGTTGTCTGAGATCTTTTAGCAAAACTGCCATCAGGTTTCACCTCGACAGGAAGTACAAGTTGAAATGGCTGAAAACAAATCAAGAGCAATGCAGTGATGCACAGAGTAAATGGGTGATTCACTTTGACAAATACCTCCAAAGTTTATCTCTCAGATATAAAATATACAGTGCTATTAAAAATATTTTTACTCACTCACCTACACAGAAAAATTGTCCCCAAACCTGTATCCATTGTACAGTTGGTCTTGACTGTAAAAATTGGGAATTTTGTTGATTTATCTGGCTGTTTTTCAGACTGTCAAATAGTTTAAGTATGTAAACAGAGCTTCTAACTATATACATAATAGTTTCATAGTTAAACCCTACCCATAACACATGTTAAAATCTGATAGTTCAATACTTCAAGGTTCTGCGGCTTCTTCAGTGCAAATATTCCCATCAACAATTTAGACTGCAACCCTTTAGCATTTAGTCAATGTGAGTTTCTGTGGTCCTCCCAAATTCATCACTCTGTGGCTAACCCAGTGATGAGCTTCTCCAAAACTTGCTTTGCTTGTCCCTGCACGACAGACATACTACCCATGAGTTATGGGAAGGACAAGAAAGAGGGCCTTTAGGCCCGTTCCAACTCTGAAAGGCTGTGATTCTGTGCTCCATCATGGGCTAAAGACAAAGCCTTTCTAGGTTGGAGGGACTGGACAAAGCTTGAGCTCCACTGGAATAACTTTCCAGAACCCAGGGTCATCTCCAAGCTATGCTGAGATCTTAGAGTAGTATTTGAAAGAGTTATTGAGGAAATGGAGAGAACCAAGATGGCAGAGTAGAGGAAGCACTACAGCCAAGTTCTCCCTATATTCCCATCCAAATAATTTTCAAATAGCACCTCAAATCAAATTATGGAGTGGCAGAGTCAACAAAAGGTCAGGGAGAGAAATTTTTCCAGTCCAAGGCAACCAAGATCAGGAGAGGTCTGTGACACTGGGGTAAAGGACGGTCCAGAGCACATGTGACAGCAACACCACCGTTGGGACTTGGGAGCAGCAAAAGTAGTAGCAGCAGCAGCTTCAGGAGCTCTCATCCCACAGATGGTAAGAGGACTGGGCAACTAGTCTGAAAGAGATTACAGGGGACCCCTGTGCTAGCACTGGGCACAGAACCAGGTGCTACTTGGCAACTCCATTGTCCATACCCACTTCCAGTCTTGGTTCCAGTACAGAGAAGAATACTTTCTCTCACAAAGGAGCAGGGAGGCCCTGAGGAGCAGCAGCATTTTCAGTTGCAAGGAATAAGGGGCCCTTCCTGGGTAAGGACCAAAGCATATACAAGGAGAAAAGTGATCACATCTCCTCCAGATCACACCACCTTGGAAGCACTGAAAACTTCTTTTTGTCATTTTTATTTATTTTTATTTTTTTATTTCTTCTTGTACTAGCCTCATTTAAACAACCATACACAAAGCTCTGAAGTATGCCTCTGTAGGACCACAGATAGGTTACTCCTGGTTGAATCTTCTGAGGCAAGTTAACTTCTCTGACTGATAGTAACTGAATTTTATGGATAATATCCCTTTTCTGATCTCCATGAGATCTATTTTTTTTCTTTTTTCTTTTTTTTTTAGCACCGAAAACTTCTTCAAAAAACAGCAGCATGAAAAAGCCTGAAGCTTGAGACATTCCCACCCACACCCCAAGGTGAACAGAGCCCAACTTAAATATAAAGATCAAAGTCAAGAAATAGGCTGGAAAAATGAGCAAATGAATGAATGAATGAATGAATGAATGAACTGACCATAAAAAGCTACTATGGTGATAGGGAATATCAAGACAAAAACTCAGAAGACAATGATGTCAAAACAGCAATAAACAAAGCCTCAAAGAAAAAAAATGCAAATTAGACACAAACCCAACAAGAATTGCTGGAAGAGTTAAAAAATTATTTAAAAAATCAAATAAAATTGTTTGAGGAAAAAATGGGAAAATAAATGAGAGCAATGCAAGAAAATTATGAAAAGACAACAGCTTGGTAAAAGAGGCACAAAAAATGCTGAAGAAAATAATATCTAAAAAAACAGAACTAAGCAAATGGTAAAAAGAGGTAGAAAAGATCATTGAATAAAGTAATTCCTTAAAAAATAGAATTACGCAATGGAAGCTAATGACTACATGAGAAATCAAGAAACAATAAAATAAAGTCAAAAGAATGAAAAAATAGAAGAAACTATGAAGTACCTTATCAGAAGACAATTAACCTAGAAAATAGAATGGAAGAGAGATAATTTAAGAATTATTGGACTATTTGAAAGCCATAAAAAAACAGCCAAGAATCATCTTCCAAAAAATTATAAATATAATTGCCCCAATATCCTAAAACCAGAAGGTAAAATAGAAATTTAAAGAATTCACTGAATACCTCCTGAAAAAGATCCCAAATGAGATCTCCCAGGAATATCACAGCCAAATTGCAGAGCTCCCAGGTCAAAGAGAAAATACTACAAGCAGCTATAAAGAAACCATTCAAATATCATAGAGCCACAGTCAGGATCACATAAGATTTATCAGTTACGACATTAAAGGAGCAGAGGCCTTAGAATATGATATTCTAGAGCTAGGATTACAACCAAGCATAACCTACTGAGGAAAACTAAGTATAATCCTTCAGAGGAAAAAAATAGATATTTAATAAAATAGAGGACTTTCTCAAATATTCCTGATTGAAAAGACCAGAGATGAATAGAAAAATCTGACTTTCAAATACAAGACTCAAAGAAACATTAAAAGGGTAAACATGAGAAAGAAATCAAGAGAGACTCAAAAAGGTTAAACTGTTTACATTCCTATATGGTAAGATGATATATGAAACTTATAAGAATTTTATCACTATTAGGGCAGCTAAAAGGACTCTACATAGAGGGCATAGTAGTGAGTCAATTATATTGGGATGATCTCAAAAAAAGATGGATGGGCAAGAAAGAGAGATGCACTGGGAAAAGGGGAAAGGGAAAGGAAGAATGGTGAAAATTATCTCACATAAAAGAGGCATCAAAGCAAAAGCTTTTACAGTGGTGGAAATAATGGGTCGGTATCCCAAAGAGATCAAAGAAAAGGAAAAAGACCTATATGTATAAAAATATTTTACAGCAACTCCTTTTGTGTTGGCAAAGAATTGGAAATTGAGGGGGACATCCACCAAATGAGGAATGGCTAAATGAGTTATGGTATAAAATTGTGATGGAACACTATTATGCTATAAGAAATGACAAGGGGCATGGTTCTGGAAAAATGTAGGAAGAACTACATGAATTGATAGAGTGAAGTAAGCACAATCAGGAGATCATTGCACACAGTAACAACAATATTGTAGCAATTATCAACTATGAAAGACTTGATCAAGATAATGATTCAAGATAATTCTAAAGGACCCATGATGAAAAATGCTATCTATCTCCAGAGAGAAAAGTAATAAACTCTGAGTGTAGATTCAAGCATACTTTTTTTCACTTTCTTAATTTTTATTGCTTTTTTTGTTTGTTTTGCAATGTGGCCAATATACCCCTTTTCAAGGGGTGGGGGAGGGGTTGGAAGGAGGGAGAGGTTTGAAATGCAAAATTTTAAAAAATTAATATTAAAAATAAATATATTTTAAAAGACACATTATTGGCTTAAAATGATAGAAAGATGCTTTCTATCAATTAAAATGACAAAAAGATGCTTTCTATACATTAAAACCCAAACATGGAATAGATTGCATTATTTAACTTAGAACAAATTACTTTACATTCTTTTTATGCAAAATTCATATGTGAACATTATCACAGTACAAAGTCAATAGGTAGACATATTTAAGGAAACTATGAAGCTCCACCATTTCTAGCAGCCACTAATTGTAACTGGCAGTGTAACAAACATTGGTTTCCTAAATAGCTATAGTATGCTTTGTTAACTTGGTTAACACTTTTACTAGTTTAGCTAAACTTATTTATGGGCAACACATTTCTTTAAAACTAAGCATAATTTATTTAAGAATTTGATTTTGAGCTTGTATTCTCTTTCCCCCCAAACCGTCCCTATTTCCAAACTTCCCAATTACTATCAAGGGCACCATCTTCCTTCTAGGCATCCAAGCTCACAACCTATGTGTCATCCTCAACTCCTCACCAGAAGTCATCCCACATATTCAATCTCTTATATTTCTATCTTCAAAACATTTCTCATATATGTTCCTTCCTATCGAATCACATAGCCATCACCCTGGTGCAGGCCTTCATCAATTCGTGCTTAGACTATTGCTGTAGCCTTTGGCTGGTCTCCCAGCCTCAAGTCCCCCCCACCCCCACCCCACTCAAACGCATCCTCTGCTCAGATGCCAAGCGATTTTTCTTTAAGGTGCAGGTCCAATCATGTTCCATTCCCCTCAAACTCCAATGGTTTCTTATTACCTCCAGAATCAAATATGAAGTCTTCTCCAATTAGATTTGAAGCCATTCGCAACCTGGTCCCTTGTTATCTTTCTAGTCTTCTTATTCTTTACTCCCTTTCATGTATTCCATGATCTAGCTACAATGGTCTTTTTACTGTTCCTTGTACATGTCTCCTCACTGTGTCTTTTCACTGACTGTTCCCCATGCCCAGAATGTTCTCCCTCCTGACCTATACCTCCGTACTTCCCTGGCTTCCTTCAAGACTCAGCTCAAATTCCTTCTTCTGAAACAGACCTTTCTATGTCCCCTTCCCCTAACCCCCTACTAGTTATCTTTTAAATATAATATCTGCATGTTTTCTCACCCATTAGAACATAAGCTTTTTGAGGACAGCGGCTGTTTTTGCCTTTCTTTATATCCCCAGTACTTAGCACAGTGCCTGGTACACAAAAAAATGCTTATTGACTGACTAGATGACCATACTATTATGTAAATTTATACCTACCTTCCCCTTGACCATTACTCGAACATAAGTTGGCTGCACATCAACATCAATTAGAGAAGTATCCATGAACCTTCAGGATTAAATGCATCAAAAAGTTATAATTCTTATAAAAACATAAGTGTATAGGAATGTTAATCCAAATATTCATGAATAACTTTAAATGAAATAAATTCAATTTTATTCAATTAAACAAATATTGAGCAAGTGTGGCATTACCATGGGGAACAAAGGTAGGAGTGAATTGTGGCACAGAAAGGAGATGCCAAGGAAAGCCATCGCCTCTCCAAGCATCTCACATGAGATGTGGCCTGAGGAAGTCCCAAGGAAAGGTCAGCTCTTCCCCCAATTTCCTCTTCCAGTGCCTGTCTAAATGCATAAACTATATTATAATCAGTTTTTTCATTGCCCAAATGTTTCTGGTAAACTGAATTTTACTTCAACCACAAAAAAGTCAGAATTAACTAGAGACAAATATAAAGTTAGAGAGCCCAACCTCTGACTAAACGTTGGTAATTTTCTTAACAACTGTGACAAAATTTATAACTTTTCATCTGACATCAATTCCCTAAAGCTAAAGATATTGCCTCCTAGGCCTAAAACTTAGATAATGATTTTAATGGTGATGTTGTTATTATTGCTGTTCATCAATCAGTCATGACCGACTCTTTGTGACCCATGGATTATAGCATGTTAATGCTGTCTATGGAGTTGTCTTGGCAAAGATATTGGAGTGGTTTGCCAGTTCTCTCTTTAGGGAATTAAGGCAAACAGAAGTTAAGTGACTTGTCCATGGTCACACAGCTAGTAAGCATCTGAGGCTGGATTTTAATTCAGGTCTTCCTGACTTCAGGTCCAGCACTCTATTCACTGAACCACCTCGCTGTTTTTTAATGGTGTTACATATAGTCAAATGCTTTTCTGCAATTTTATCATGATTACTAATATTAGAAAATTCAGTACAGGTGAATAAAAATATGAATAACAAAAATGTAAGAAAGAAATAATGCTAATTTAAACATCTTTTTAATGTAATATTGATCACTGGAATGATAATTTTTAATTTAATTTTATTATTTTAATGAAAATGCATCTTAATTCAATTCCTTCAACTGTAAGAATTCCTGGCAAAGCAATTTGTCCTAATACCAAATGCATCAGCCTTGGAGACCTGGGTTTGAGTCTTGCCTCCAATACTTACTAACTACGTGATAATGGCCCTTCACTTCTCTGAGCCTTATTATCTTCATCTGTAAAATTGGGGCAATACTGCTTCTATGACCTACTTCATAAGGCTGTTGTGAGGAAAGTACTTCGTGATTCTTAAAAGACCTTATAAGTTCAAGATATTCTTACTATTTACATTATACATCTGATGACTCCAAGATGGTCTGAATAAGCTAAGCCCAAAACTCAATACACACAATGACTAAAACAGTGTAAATGAAGACCACACCAAAATATAACAGAAATTAGGCTAAATGGTTGCTGTTGATTCCAAATTACTAAAGTACAAGCCTTCCTCAGTTCATCACCAAGAAAATGAGGCTAATACTGCCCTCAGTATCTGGTTTTGTGAGTTTTTGTGAGGTTTGAGTGAGATGATGTGTACAAAGCCTTTTGCAAACTTTCAAACATTCTACAGAAGCCACTAATTTTTATTGTTCCTTTTTTGTTAACAAATGGTAAACTATAATGATGAAAAGTGACTTCTATTTTCAGTCACAACTGCTCTTTGGGGGAGAAGTTTTCTTATTTGTTATGAGGGAATATACTTTGTGAAGAGTTTATTTATATGTTTGTTGGGATGTTTCTGTTACATCAAAACAAAATATTTCAATAAAATGATAAATGAATCACATGACCAGAAAAATATTCAGCAAGAAGATGTTCATATGAATTCAAGAGAATTGACATAAGCTAAACCGGAGTTGTCAAACACACAGCCTGCAATGTTCCCAAGTGTGGTCCAAAACTGACTACAATGTAATTGGGAAATGCTTTTAAAAATAAATAAAACTACATTAGAAGATAGATAATACTAATGGTTTTCAATATGTAGCCCAGAGTGATCTTTGTGTGTTTCTATTTGAATGAAGATACCAATGAGCTAAACCATAGCTCATTAAGTCTTCTGACCACATATGTAGGTACTCCAGGATTCACAATGTTGCCCCACCAAAACTTCAAGACCTCTCAATTCATTAGCTTGCTACACTTCTATGACCTAAATGGATGTGGAAGCCCCCCAAAATTAATGTGATCTTAGGCTGTACAAGTGTTGTTCTATTGTCCTCTGCTCTGGTCCAAACACACCTGGAGTACAATGTTTAATTTGCAGCATCACGGTTTAGGAAGTTCATTTACAGTTGGTAGAGTGACAAAATGAAGGTGACTAATATAGTGGAAGGTCTCAAAATCATGCTGTATGAAGACTGGTTGAAGGAACAGGGAATGCTTAGTTTGGAGGACAGAAGACTTAACAAAGATATGAAAGCTGTCTTTGAATATCTGAAGGACTGTCACCTCACAGAGGAAATTAAATATTCTCTTTGGACATAGCAATCAGCAGAATTTGCAGAGAAGCAGATTAGTCTGGATAAAATGAAACAATCCCTAACAAAGTTACCCAGAAATAAAATGGAGTGTCTCAGGAGGTAGATTACTCTCCCTCATTAAAGGTCTTTAAGCAAAGGTTGGAAGACCACTTGTTGAATATGCTATGTGGATTCTTGTTCAAGCATGAATTGGACTGAATGACGCTCAAATCTCTACCAACTCTGAGAGGGACAGCACTTAAGAATCTTGTTGCTCATGTTATGAAATTGGCCAATGTCATTCTTAAGCAAAGGAAAATGAGGACAAGGGAGAATTGAAAGGAATTTGTGATACAGTGAATCAACATGTTCATAATGGTCCGTGAGTTTTCTGGGTTCCCTTCCTTGTATATACATTCTCTGTGACCCCATGTAACATCTACTCAATACAAAAATACACTTAAGGGGTCTGATCAGCCTTTCTGCTGCCTAATCCTAATTGCACTGGGGCTGGAGTATCAAGAAATGCAGTGACCAAATCAAGATAGACATTGGGAGAACAGGACAATGTCACCACCAGCACCCTCAGAATCTGATGGATGTTAAATGTTTGAAGCTCCACCATCTTTTGAACATCTAATCCAAAGGCTTTAGCCTCTAACAGCAAGTCACTGACGTTTGCCTATCATAAAAGATTAGCACATTTTCTTTTTCATTTAGGTATGAGAATAAATAAAATAACTCATAAGTTAAGCAGCAGTACCACAGAAAGCAATAAAATACCTTTACCTATATACAGCAAGATCCAGGACAATTTGATTATTTTCTTCATCATCTTTCAAAGAAAAATCGAGCCTAGTAAAAATGGAAAAGAGAAAAAGAAATAGTTTGTCCAGTAATAAATGGATAGACAAAAACATCACCACATTATATTTAAAAGCAAAAAAAGGATACACTACAAAAACTTCTATTAATGTGGGCATTTTGGTACTTGAACAACAATATTTCTCTTTTATTTCCAAAACTTCACCAGAATCAAGCAAAACATTGAAAATTAAATTGGATTTATCTATAATTTTTTTCAAACTTAACAAAATTCATGGTATGTTACAGATATATTTAACATTGGTGCAGAAATAGAGACATCTGGTGGTTAAAACTTTGTTTTTTTTTAACCTATTAAATTAATTTTTGTGAAGAAATCTGGAAGGTTAAGATTTGTTTGTGCATAAACAGATGCCTAATTAATAAGAATTTCCATATCCTAATTTTTGAAATCTAGATATAATTCTATAACTTTTGCACACAAAAGATGTAAAAACTCTGATTGACACAATGACCAATCATGAATATAAAGGACCAGTGATGAACTACCTCCTGATACATCAGTGATGGACTCAGGAAGCACAATATTTTTTGGTAGAGACAATGTGGGACTTTAGGACTTTGTTTTTCATGACTGCATAATATTTATAAGAAATGTTTTTTTTTTTATTTCAAGGGGGGAGGGGAAGAAAAAGAGAAAAGATTTGAATAATTTATTCAAATTGTTCAATAACAAATATGTGGATTCTTGTTCAAGCATGGATTGGACTGAATGATGCTCAAATCTCTACCAACTCTGAGAACAAGAGCACTTAGGAATCTTGTTGCTCATGTTATGAAACTGGCCAATGTCATTCTCAAGCAAAGTATAATGAGGACAAGGGAGAATTGAAAGGAATTTGTGATATATTGAATCAACATGTTCATACTGGTCCTTGAGTTTTCTGGGTTCCCTTCCTTGTATATACATTCTCTGTGACCCCATGCAACATCTACTCAATTAAAAATTGAATTAATTGAAATTGAAAATGTTAATTGAAAATAAATTAATTTGATCATATGAGCAACTAGAGAAATGTCTCTGATCTCATGACCTTTCAATCCTCTCCAAAACAGAAATTATGTTCCAAAAAAAATAACTTTAGCTTTTTCCACGGTATAGGACACTTAGAACCCAAAATAAGGCAAACAAACAAAAAATGACAACTCAAGAACTGATACTCACTGACCCTGAGCTCACTCAATACCCCTCCCCAACCTTCCATGCTCTCAGCAGTGAGGTCCCCCCATCAGACTCAAGGAGACAACACAAGATTACATCAAAACCCACCCCAGCACCTGGTTCCCTCTCCCTCTTTTCAGTGTCTTGGGGATCCTGGGTAGAGAAGTTTACTCAGGCCTTGAAAGCCAGTTTGGCCACAGCCCTTAAGAAGCAGAAATCTATTAAGAGCTAAAAACTAGAAGTACCAATGCTGCAAAGGTCTGAACTGCCAGTGCTGAGGTAAACAGATTCTGAACTGCCTGTGCCAGGCCAGAGAACTGAGGAACAGGGGGAATGGGGCAGATCACCGGGACAGGATATAGTATATGTGCAGGGATATGCAACACTCCACCAAACCTGAGAGAAAGAGGACAACACCCAGTAGGGGGACAGTTCTGACCACCCAAAAGTCACTTGGGACAGAGGACTAAGCTGGTGAACTGTGAAATGCCCAGTGTAGGAGGTGGCTGAGATGCTTTGAGATTTAGCCTCCAATGAAATCACAGTCAGAGGGGAGGGAGTCAGAAAGTGAGTGATAAGGAAAATAAATGCAATGGGGGAGACTGAAAGTACGAAAATTTCAAGAATATTACTGTGCTGTAAGAAATGATGTGTGTGATGAATACATAGAAACATGGAAAGATCTACATGAACTGATGCATGGTGAAGTAAGCAGAGCCATGAAAACAATATACACTGTAACTACAATAATGGAAATGGAAATGACAAAACAAAAAATCAAAAGTAAATATAACAAAATTACAAAGAACAAGTGAAAATCAAATGAAGAGATATGAGAAGACACCTCCAACCCATCCCTTGGTGGAGGTGGAAGGTCCACAGGTATTACATACTGCACACGTTTCTGGAATTTCTCAACATACTGATCAGTTGTGATGACTTTTTTTCCTCTTCAAAAATATTATTTATCATATTTTTGAGGGGCAATAGGAGGGATACATGGCGATGTAAAAACATAAAATATCAATAAGAACTTATTTTTTAAAGAATATATAAATTTATTTTTAATGTATAAACAGAAGACTTGTTAATAAAAATTTCAATAGTTTTCCCTTTTGCAGCTAACATTCCTTATATTTTAGTTTCCTAAACCTCAAAAACAGACATATGGAATTGCCTTTCCAACATTTTCCCATCCTTATTCTTCTGTTTTTATTATTAGCCTTTTAATCCCCGTGCTATGAAATCTTCCACTAAACTTTGTTTTTTACCAGCCTAGGATTTTATCAGTGTAGAGAGCTCCTAGCTAGGAACACAGCTCCCCCCAGAAGCCTGAAACTTGCTCAGCAGCTCCCCAAGAACTGCCTGGAGCACTGCGAGGTTAAGTGACCTGTCCAACAATACACAGCCAGTATATGTCAGAGGCGAGACACAAACCCAGGTCTTCCTAACTCCTAAATGACACAACAAAAATGTTTTTAATTATATTGTTCATAATTCATATAACTATACCAAGTACATCCCCAAATGAAATTATGGTATATGAAATCAACTTTACAAATCCACAAAACATATAAGAAAGTTCCTTACAATGACCTCTACAGATAAATATGGACATTGTGCATGTCAGTATAAACCGGAATAGGATTTTATTATATAGGCATATATGGTCAACTTATGTTTTAAAGAAATTATGTGTAATTTAGAAAACAGGTTCACACTAAAAAAACAATTTAATTCAATTAGATATAAATCCCAGTGTCCTAAGCACTATTCTAGTTGCTAGGAATGTATACAAAATTTAGATAAGACATGACTTCTTCCTTCATTGAGTTTGCAGTATAGTAAGGGGAATAAGACACATAAACACATAAATATAATAAACAATAATGCATGCTAAGTATACCAGACAGATGTAAAACAAAGTGCTATGTAAGGTTTTAGGATACATAAGTTATTATTAACAGTGGGGACTAGGCCTGCTCTGATGAAGGAAGTGATATCTAATTTGGGCTTTGAAGGAAGGGAATAAATTCAGTAAGTAAATTGTGTGTGTGTGTGTGGGGTGGGGGGATGCCAAGCCACAAATAGGGAATGGGGTAAGCAAAGACTTAGAGGTGAGAAAGTTATGACTGTGTTTGGTTACAGAGATATAGTGGCCCAGTTCAGCTGTACCACAGGGTAGAAAAGAATATAAAATAAGGTTTAAGAGGAAAAGTGGTACTGGATTGTGGAAGGCAAAGAATCTAAACTTGATTCTGTAAGCTATGAGGTGTAGTGGAGATTTTCAAGCCTAGGAGTATCTATTCATAAGGGAAATTAGCATGGCAATAGAATAAAGATATATTAGAGAAAGGAGAAAGCATAATTTGAAGCCTTTTAACAATGAAAATAAATAATCCAACATGAAGAGCTTTTGGCAGATATTGTAAGAGTGCAACGATGAAAGGATGCTGAATTGAATCAGAAAAACAGAACACAGACATTTCTGAAGGAAAATATGTCATAAATGAAGTATTATTTTAAACTATAACAGTATCTACCCAAACCGTAACACAAAACAATGACCAAAATGATCTCTCAAGATTGTAATGGAATGGATGCACCTACAAGAGGAGCTATTCACAATTTTATTTTTATTATTTATGGTTTATGAAATTTAAGCAAAAAAAAGTCAAGATGAATTAGAAAAATCTTTTTTATCTATTTATAATTCATGAGATTGTTAAACATCTAAGTTTTTTTTTAATTCATTCTGTATATAGCTTGTTTGTGCACAGTTGCTTATGTGTTGTCTCTCTCATTAGATCCTGAACTCCTTGAAAGCAGGGACTGTCTTGCCTTTCTCATACTCCAGCACTTAGCATAGTGCCTGGCATATGGCAGGAGATTAATAAATGGATAATGATAGCCTGATAATGGATATGTGATCTCATTGGTGTAGAGACTTCTTCCAGTGATGTCAATAGCAGCTTTTCACATCCTCTTCAACTTCCTAGCTCTATCCTTCACTGAATACTCCAGCGGGCTGGTAGATGATCTCTAGATCTCTTGATATTTCATGGATACCAATGTGGCAGATGGGCTATCCATTGATTATCCTTCATGCTGGCTACCACACCAACCCACTCCAGTAGCTCCCTATTGCCTCCAAGATCAAATACAAAATCAAATATTTGGTTCAAAACCCTTGGTAACCTGGCCCCTTCATACCTTTTCTGTCTTCTTATACTTCATTACCCTCCACTTAATCTGTGATCTAGTGACTCTGGCCACTTTGCTATTCTTTAAACACTTCATTCCCCGACTCCCTGGCTGCCTTCACACTTGGAATTCCTCTCTCCTTACCTCTGCTTCCTGGCTTCCCTGACTTTGTTCAATCCTCAGCTAAAATACCATCTTCCATTAGAAAAGATATATTTCCTAGTCTTCCTTAATATGAGTGCCTTCCCTCTAAGATTATCTCGAATTTATCCTGTGTATATCTTATTTGTACACAGTTGTTTGCATGTAGTCACCTCCTATTAAATTGTGATCTCCTCAAGGACAGGGTCCATTTTTGCCTTTTGCTGTATTCCTGGTGCTTAGTACACCATCTGGCACATAGTAGAGCAAAGGGAAAAGAGAAAGAATGCACTGATCACCTCCTGAAATAAAAATCTCAAAAGAAAAAGTCCCAGAAATAACAGTCAAATTCCAGAGTTCCCTCTTTAAAGAAAAATATTTCAAGCAGTCAGAAAGAAAGTGTTCAAGTACCAGGGAACAACAGTCATGATCATAAAAGTCCTGGCAGTTTCTACATTAAGTAAGATGAGATCATGGAATATAATAATGAAAAGGGCAAGAGACATGGGCTTACAACCAAGAATAATTTACACTGCAAAGCTGAATATAATCCGATAGAAAGGAAAAGCTGAACCTTTAATGGAATAGAGCACTTTGCAGAATCCCTGATGAAAAGACCAGACTTAAGTAGGAATTTTGAAGGACAAACATAAGGAACAGAAGAAACATGGAAAGGTCCATTTATATCATCACCCCTTCCAGGGGCTGGAAGGACATAAAGTGCTGACATTCTACTAGAGAAAGAAGAAACAAGAGTCCCTTCAGAATATCAATGCCTTCTGAGAGTACTGAAGAAATTAAATAAGAAAAAAAAGAGAACCTGGGGTAGACTTGTCCTATTCTGAGAGTTTTATGAGGGGAAAGAAAAGGAAGAGTAAAAGGAAGAATGCAGCAGTATAGAAAGGAGGAAGAAGAAGGTGAAACTTACTATTTCTCATGTGCATGAGAAGAAGAGTATACAAACTTGGAGAAGGGGTAGGGTTGGGGAAAGGACTAAGGTTTATCTGAACCAGACAAAGGAGGACAATAGCAAGAATAACCACACACACATACACACACACACACACACACACACACACACACACACACACACACTTGCCAACAGTTACATATAGAAATAGAATAAACTCAATAAAGGTTTGTTCAGGCAGGAATAGGGGGAAATAGTTAAGAGGGAGCATGAAACCAGGATGGGAATAGTTGCAAGCAAAACTAACTTTCCAGATTCTGAAGGGAATTTAAAAAAAATTAAGAAAAAAGAAACAATATGGAAATTAAGGGGATGACTATCAGATGGGAAACATTTGAATAAACCATTGTATGTGAAATGAAATAGTATTACACAACAATAAATAATGATTTAGATGGTATCCTAGAATCTAAGGAAGCATGAACTAATGCAGAGTAAACTGATACAGGAGAACAATTTATATAATGATAACATAACATCATAAAAAACAGCAATTTTCAAATACTTAAGAACTCTAAATGAATCAATGATCAGACAACTTGTATGAATCATGTTACCCATCTCCTGACAGAGAGCTGGCTCATCCAAGGAAAATACACACACATACACACACACATATATATATATATATATATATATATATATATATATCTTTGACTTGGAAATGGAATGATTTGTTTTGTTACAGGTCAGTGAGAAGTTACTATGTTTTTGTGATTGTATTTTGAAACTAATTCTTGCCCACCCTTCATATAACCTAACACCATAAATCACTAAGTGTAACAAATAGTATGCTATATTTAATATAAATTTATTTCCTTGGTCCAAAATATGTTTGGTGAATTTATCTCTAATTTTAAAATTTGATTCATAGGAGATACATTCATAAGAGATATCCCAGTATCATTATTAGCTTATTCACTACTAATTCAGAACAAATCAATGTATTTAAGCCAAATCTAGCCATGTTCTAACTCAAGAGACATGTTTATAATATTCATCTATAATTCTATAGAGGAGTGAAAGACATACCCTGCTAACAACATTCATTAGTTGGTTCCAAAAAAAATACACTACTGGGTGTTTAAAGGAAACAGTTTCATAAAAACTACTACAAAAAGGCAATCGGGGAAAGTCATTACAGTGAGATTACATGACTCTACGATAGGATTTAGTTATAATGTATTACCGATATTATTATGAAACAGTACTAGCGGGGACAGTCTTATGTGTATGCTTGTATGTTCATGGAATGTTTATGAATGTCAAATAAATTGAATCTAATTTGATACTGTTTGAAAATATAGTGAATTTGTTACTTGAGAATATATGGAAGAAAATGACATTTTTTTAGAGCTTCCTAACCAGTTAAAATTGACAAATTTATTCACTGCAAAGCACACCTGTTATTAAAAACAAAATCATGACTACAAATCCTACTAATTTCATTTCTTCAGGTTACTGTTTTTCTCACTTACTTTGGTTCATTAATATTCAACACTCGTCCATCTGCAGTGATCAAAGTCCTAGGTGGCTTTTGTTTCTTCTTTCTATCACTAAAAATAAACAGAGAGGGGTGGGGTAGGATGGAGATGGAAGGCAATTCTTGTTTTACTAAAGTACATGTTAACGGGAGTAATACCTCAGTGAAACAGTTCATGAAAAATAAATAGAAACTTCTGAATTCCACCAATATTTCGGTATCATAAGTCAAGTTACTATAATTATGTCATTTGCTTTGAAATTCAAATCAGAAAGATTTCTATGTGGTTACATCTAAGTGATGAGGCAGAATTGCAAAGTAAGGCAATTTGCTGAATGACTCCTATGAAAAGAGCTTTTGCTGCTGTTCAGGTTTCAGTCCCGTCCAATTCTGTGATCCCACCTGGAGTTTTCTTAGCAAAGATCCTGAAGTGTTTTGGCATTTTCTTCTCCTGCTCATTTTACAGATGAGGATGCTGAGACAAACAGGGTTAAGTGACTTGTCTAAGGCCACATAACTAGTACGTGTCTGAGGCCACATTTGAACTCAGATCTTCCTGAGTCCAGGCCTGGAGCTCTATCCACTGTGTCACCTAGCTACCCAAAGGGCCACCTTTTCCTAAAAAATCCATATAAATTAATTTGTGTCTGTATTGAGGAATGGAGGGAATGGGTATATGTGTTGTATGGGAAGGTTCTTCCTTCTTTCCATGCTGTTATAACTAAAGCATAGCAACAAGGGGAACTTCAAAGCTACTCACTTGGCTGAGAATGGAGTGGGCCTAGTCTGGAGCCAGTTTTCATCAGCAGTAACTCCCCTTCAAAAGCTGACCTGCTCAGCCCCACTTCCTTGTTACCTCCTATTGCCCCAAAGTAGACTGAGAAAAGAGTCCCTTTTCCAAGCAATCTTCCATGCCCATGGCTGGTCAAAAAAAGGAGCAAAAACAGATTACCAACCTCAGGTCATGCCTGACATGAGAGAGGGAAAAATGGCAGCTAAAGAAAACTTACATCAGTTTTATGGCTACTGCTGATTCAATTTCCAATTTCTGCGCCTATACATTTTTGTTTTCTCTCTCTTTGTATATATTTTGAGACTTGCCTCTCCTCCACACCCTTGCATAGGGATATGTGGTTTTTATTAAACATGTGGGGCTGTATACATATTGAACACCCAAGTGCTTAGGTTAGTGTTGTGCCAATAATGAATAGCTATAATATTTTATTTATAGTTTGTCCAGATACTTGCCATTTACTTCTCTATTTTGTGTATATATCCTCTGATTTATTTAAAACTACAATTTATAATATATCATAATTGCTTCATGATTTAACAATCAGGGCAGTATATAGATCACTACATCACTGTTTAATTTGCAACAAACAAATGCTTAGGGAAAAACCTGATTTTCAGTTTGTCTCCAACCCTGTCTTTTTCATTAATGAAGAAAAGTGCATGAAATCATCATTAGCCATTCTCTAACATGAGGCTCCTTTTTTTTAAAATTGTCTTTAGTTCTTTATCATGGGGATAGGGAAGATATTTGTATTTCATTTTATGCTTTTCTTAGATAAAGGTACTTTAAAAGGCAGCCAGGTGGTACAGGGAATAGGGAGCTTGGCCTAGAGTTGGGAAGACCTGAGTTCAAATCCAGATCAGACACTTACTGGTTATGTGACTTTGGGCAAGTCACTTCTGTTTACTTCAGTTTCTTCAACTGTAAAATGGGGATAATAATAGCACCTACCTTAAAGGGTTGTTGTGAGGATCAAAAGAGATAATATTTGTAAAACATTTATAAAATTTATAAAACACTTAGAACAGTGCCTGGTCAGTAGGCAATAAATGCTTATTCCTTTCCTACTCCACTCCCTCCCTTCCAATGTTGTAAGGATAAAATGAGATAATAGCTATAAAGCATTTGGAAACATTAAAGCAATATATAAATGCTACCTATTATTATTAAATGCACTAATCACAGTCTTTATTTTGCTTCCTCACAGGCCAAAAATTCTAAAAATTCCCCTAAGTGGTAGATGTTATGGTAGATGTGCTGGGTTAAGCAATTAGATGAATGGAATGACATTGTACCTATTAACAAACTTAAAAAGAAGTACTCTGCAGATTATAAATCAGTCAGCTTCAAACACATCATCAAATAAGCAATTTTTAAACACTTCAAAGATCAAAGGGTGTTGTTTAACATAACTTTGTAAGGAAGAAATAATCCCACTTCCATTGACTGATCTGATAGATAACATAACAATAGATATCCAAACAACAGGTTCCTGTAAAAATAAAAATACCACCCCAAGTAATGCAAACATAGGGTCATGTGCTCAAATGTAACACATGTGCACAGTTCCTGAGGTGTGCACAACCCAAAGATGTATAGGTGAGCTGAAAGTTTCATCATCTGTGGAGAATACTACCAGCACCCTTCTGGCCACTTACACACCTTCTGTCCCTGTATGTGCCAACTAAAATTGGGGAGCCATTCTCCTGGCTGGTCATATATGGCAAGCATTTAGTAAAATCAGCTCATCCATCCCTCCAAAAAGAATAAGCTACAGTGAAAGGGAAAATTCTCAAGGAAAGAGGAGGTGATTTTTATTACCTATAAATCTGAGTAGCACGAATTGTCTAACATAAACAGGACAATCAAGTTGAATATATCTTGGCTTCATAACTGGCTTTTAAAAAAGATAATATTCTACTCATTCATTTAATTGACTGCTTCTATTTTTAAAGTGGAAAAATAGAATAAATTTTCTAGTTAATCAAAATGACCAACTGGTTACTTAATGCAAACTGTTAATAACAGGTGAGAACACAAGTAAATCTGCTCATCAAATAAGACATTTCTATGAAATGAAAATATCCCCATTGTTAACATTTTGGTGTAAGGATAACTCTGGGTTCTCAAAAGCTATACCAATGAAACACAATCTCTGGTAGATCTTACCAAACTGGCAAGCTTTTGAGTTCAAGGTCAGTGACAGATTGTATCTGTTGTCTAATGCCTAGTGTAGTTAAATACAAAGGGGTCCCTCACCAGAAGATGGCCACCCACAACTCAAGAACAGAAAGAAGACAGTGATCTCCATTAGTGGAAGAAATGATACTCTTTCAAAGTGTCAAAGTCAACATGTACATTAAAGTTCTTTGTAAATTCTAAAGTATAATGAAAAGAAAAGACATTATTATCATGTTTATTATTTTTGAAAACAAAAATTCTTCTAGGGATTATGAAGCAACTAAATGTTATGGTGGAGAGAGCACTGAACTTTTAGTTAGTAAGACCTGAGTTCTAATCCTGCTTTGGACACTTACTAGACAGGTTTGAGACACTGAACAAATTAACCTCTCCCAGCTTCAGTTTTTCTATCTGTAAAATGGAGATTATAACAGCATCTATTATCTCAGAGGGTTGTTTGTGAGGATTAGGTGAGTTAATATGTTTTAAAAATATATTGCAAACCTAAAGTCGACAGATACAGATAGATGACAGATAAACAGATGACAGACATATAGAAAGATAAAGAGAGAGAGAGAGAGAGAGATAAACAGACAAATGGAATGGATGGATAGATGACAGCAATAGAAAGATAGATAAGTATAGAGATTTATACACACACATATATACAATAGCTATTATTTAACTATTTGGTGACTAGAGTGATAAGGAAATTGGTATTAAATTGGCATATATGCTAATTGATGATCTGAAAAATTACTCATAAATTATTCAATATCACCCAAGGTTGGCATATTCAATGTTGTCTAAAGAATTAGGTATATTACTAGCAAATTTTTTGGTAACATTTAATAAGGAAAGGTCCAAGACATTGCATTTAGCAAGGAAAACCAAAATACACTAATACGAATTTTAGGTTAAAGGTCTAAAATAATCAATGAATAAAGAAATGTGATTTCTAAGAAATCCATAACAATTTAATCAGTTACCAAGGTATGAATTAGCAACAGTACCTTAATTTTTCTTTATCTTTCCTTTGTTTTTCCAAATATCTATGAGTTTCTAGTCTAGACTCAGGGGTAAATACGGTGGGCTTCTCCCAGAATTCTTTGTCCAATTCATCTGGTGTCTTTTCACTAACTTTCTTCTCTTCTATTGCTGGTTGTTGGTTGTCTTTCTTTGGCAGCAGAGAATATGGACTAGAAAAGAACAAACACAAGGTACATGAAAATAGAAAAATTAAGTTATTTTTTTCACATTCTAGTACAACAATATAACTGTTACCTACAGAATGACTATCAAAACTGAGACAGATTATTACACGGAAGAAAGATTTTTGTATAGAGGTTATCTCATACCTCACAGTGAGGCTGTTATGAGGGTCAAAAGAAAGAAGGTAGAAGAGGATTCTGTGTACTCTCAAGTGCTACAGAAATGCCAGCTACCATTTTTTTCCCTCATTTATAATGATAAAAGATTGCCCTGTTCTGATTTTTTCATATTTTGTGAATGGCTGCTACTGGGCAATCCTTTCATATGTCACTCAATCACCTTCAAGAGAGACAGCCTGGTGTAGTGGAGAGACAGCCATCTTCAAAATTGGGAAGGTGTGCATTCAGGTCCTACCTCTGATATATACTGGCTTTGTGACCTAGGGCAACTGAATTAACTCCTTGATGCTCAAAGGAGATTTCCAACTGTTAAGTTGCAGAGAAGGTAATGGCCTACAAGGGCAGCTAGGTAACACAGTGGATAGGGTACTGCGCCTGGAGTCAAGAAGACCTGAGTTCAAATACAGCCTCAGACACATACTAGCTGTGTGTCACTTAACCCTGTTTACCTCTGTAGAAATGGCAAACCACTCCAGTATCTTAGCCAAGAAAACCTCAAATGGGATTACATTTGAGTCAGAAACATGAGTCAGACACAACTGAAACTACTTAACAAGAACAAGTGACCTACATTGATATGTGGAGTTTCTTCACCTGAGAATTCCCTATATTATCAAAATCACCAGTCAGCTCCTACCTTATCATTCATTTACTTGCTCCTAACTAGTTGTGAGACCTTTGGTAAATCACCTCACTTTGGGGGACTTACATTTCCTCCTTGAAAAAATTAAAGAGTCAGACTAGAATTCTCTGATTCTAATTGATTTTAAATATTTCAATGACTGTCTCTCTGAAGAAAGACTAGACTTGTTTTTGGTTCCAGAAGGCAGTAAGAAGAAAGTTGCAGAGATTTTGGCTCAATGTAAGGGAAAACTGACTGAAGGTTAAAGCCATCCAAAAATATAACAGAATGCCTAAGGAGGTAGTGGGTTTGCCGTTAGGCCACAGCCTGGATGACAATTTATCAGCTGCGTTATTATAAAGTGGATTATAGCTCGGGGATGAATTGGACTAGATATCCTCTGAGGTCCCTTCCACCTCTCAGATTTTACGCTTCTGATCCCATAATAACTGCTACAAACCTCTTTCTTCTCTCAAGATTCCTGAGGTCTTTTATCTTTCCTGTCCCAGAGAAAAATATGCCTCTTCTCACCTAGGTTAACCTAAGTTACATACCTATCATCTCATTCATCCCAGGCTCCTCCAGGCCTTCATTGCATCAAACACCTCATCTCTCTTGTTCATCTTCAATCTCTCCCTCTCTATTGCTTGCTTCTCCTCCTCCCACAAATACATTCAAGTGTCCAGTATCATGAAAAACAACAACAGTAAAGCCCAAAACCTCCATCTACCCTACATTTCCCTCAATGGAGAAGCGATGGTACTTCAACAATAGATCTTGATTTTATTTCAGTTGACCTTAGAACAAGTTAGAACATCCATGAAAACCCTTATTAGAGCCTGCCATTCCCAGTAGTTGTTGTGCTACATATCTCCTTTCCTTCTCAATGAAAATCCTTGAAAAAACTGTCTACAACCAATACCTCCAAGTTGCTCTCCATGCACTGTGGAGAGTGATAAGTTCACTTCCTACTTAGCATCAGTTCTCCATGGTCAAGTCCAAAACTCCACCAGGCTAACACCCTAGACCACTGCTCCTCCAGGATTCCCTGCTCAGTTGGCTGCAATATTGAGCCTAGAATACTGAGCCCAAAGATTCCCCTGACTCATGCTGCCAGGTCAGACTCTATTCCCTACACCTAGAACTGAAAAAGACAAATAAAAGAAGGCCCAACTACAGCTCTTTTCTGGGGCTGTATGGCTAAGTAGGGCAGGGACAGATCTGGGAGCCTCCTCTTTTACCTCACTGGGTCACCTGAGTGAAAGGGTCCTTTGCCCTAGGCAGATAGCCAGATAAATCAATTCTGCTTAGGCAGGTAGATTTAAATACCCAGTTAGTTCTGTCCAGGCTTCTAATGGGAAAAGAATGCTTCCAACCACATTGGGAGCTGATGCAGAAACAGACGTGCATGCACCAGTTCTCCTGTCTCCCATAAGTCGCTCCCAAGAGTTATCCATATGTGTGACAACATTTCACACAGTCTAGGCATGCATCAAACTCCTTTTATTTCACTATTTTGTATTTATTCTCTTTACATTAATTCTACAACATTTTTAATATACCCTTATTTACTCCAATATAGGTTCCTTGTGAGTAGAAATTGCTTCATTTATGGTATCTATATCCTTAGCACCTACCATAGTATCGCCATTTAATAAATGTTTGTTGATTGATTGATTTTTCCCAAAGGCCATGATGTTTTATTTCTGACTCTAAATCTGCCCCACCATTCTGGATGCCAGAAGGTGGCCTCCCACTGCACATTACCCACTCCTCTCCCTTTCCCAAAGGCATCATGAGGATATGGACATTTAAATCACTTTCTTAACATAATTCCACTACATCCTTCCATTATCTTATTTGAAGTTTCAATAATTTGTTTTCATATAAATTTTAACTGACAATAACAATTTGGACCCAGGCTCTGCTACTAATAATGCTGGGTCAGAAAGACCAGAGTTCAAATCCAGCCTCAGACACTTACTACTGGATGATCCTGGTCAAATCATTTAACATGTCTGCCTCAGTTCCCTCAACTGTAAAATGGGGATAATAATAGCACTGACCTTCCAGGGTTGTTGTTAGGCTAAAATGAGATATTTGGAAAGCACTTAGCACAATTCCTGGCACATAGTAGGCACTTAATAAATGCTTATTTCCTTACTTCTTTTCATCCTTCACTTTCTCTGCAATCTGGCTTTCAACCTCAACATTCAACTAAAACTGCTCCCTCCAAAGTTATCAATGATTTCTTACTTGCCAAATCTAATTCCCTTTTCTCAATATGCATCCTTCTTGACCTTTCTGTAGCATTTGACATTGCTGACCATCTTCTTCTAGATACTCTCCTCTCTGGATTTGTGTGATATTTCTTTCTTCTGGTTCTCCTACCTCCCCGATTCCTCCTTCTAAGCCCCTTTTGCCAGGTCTTCATCCATGTCATGCCTACTAACTATGAGTGTCCTCCAAAGCTCTATTCTGGACCCTCTTCTCTTTTCTCTCTATACTTGCTTAATTGGTGATCTCTCCAACTACCAATGAAGATGATTCCTAGATCTACTGATCCATCATTAGTCTCTCTCCTGACCTCCAGTCCTACATTACCAACTGCCCACTGGACATTTCCAACCCTCAAACTCAAGTGTGTCCAAAATAAAGTTCACTTTCTTTCCGCTAAAACTCACCCCTCTTCCAAACTTTCCTTTTACTATTGAAACCATCACCATCTTTCCAATCGCTCAAGGTTGCAACCTTGGTATCACCCTTGTCTGCTCATTCTTACTTCACATATCCAGCTGCCAAATCTTGTTTGTTTGTTTTTTTCTCTACATTTCTTAGATAAGTCTCCTTATCTCTACTCATACAGCCACCACCCTAGTTCAGGCCCTTTTTGTCTCTTGTCTGAACTACTGCAATAGCTTCCTATTTGTTCTCCCTGCCTCATTTCCCATTTCACTTCATCATCCATAAAGCTAACAAAAGTGATTTTCCTAACTACAGGTCCAACCATATCACCTCCTCCTGACACTTGATAAACTTCAATGGCTCTTTGTTACCTCTAAGATCAACTATAAACCCCATTTGGTGTGTAAAGCTATTCCCAACGTGGTACTACTCTCATATCTACCTAGTCTTCTTACCCATTATCCCTTTAATGCATTCTTTGCTTTGCCTCGATCTCTAATCATTGTGCCAATGTGCATGGAATGCCTATGGAATGCTGTCTTTCCTCATATCCAGTTCTTGGAATCATTCACCTCCTTCAAGCATCAGTTCAAATATCACCTTCTGCAGAAGGCTTTTCCTGATCCCCGAAGCTGCTAATGCCTTCAACTCTAAGGTTACTGTTCATCAGTTCTGTATGTTTCTTATATGTACTTTTTTATCTGCACTCTGTCTCCTCCATTGGAATGTAAATTCCTTGCAGGGTAGGGACCATTTTTTTACTTTTTCTTGGTTTCCCTTGCATTTAACAGTTCCTGGAACATTACAAGTGCTTAATAAATGTGTGGTCTGATTGAATGAACCAGTTGTTTCATAAAGGATGAAATATTTCTGATCAATTCAACAATCATTTATTAAACATCAACTTTGTGCAATCTTCCATGTTAGGTGCTGGGGGAGATACAAAGTTTACAGGAGAGGTACATGATCCCTCTGCACAGTGAGCTTATTCTGCATATTATGAGCAATACAAAACATCCATAAGTGACTGTAATATACAATGATCTAGAGGAGTAATCAAAAACTTATGTGAAGTTAGAGGCAGGGAGAATCATTACCAAATGTGTAGTTAAGCTTCATGGAAAATGTGGGAAATATAAAGTATATATGCAGCTAATTCTTTTATGCAAAATAATTTAATCTTCTATCCTATGAGCAATGTCTTACTATAGGTAAATACAGGGTATCCAAAAGTCTGGATGTAAATATAAGCTACTAAAGCTTTAAAGAATTTCCTTAAATATTAGCCACTGAAGCTTCAAAGTATACTAATACTTTTGGGATACCCTGAATAAGAAAAAAACAGGATAGGGAAGAAAGGTCCATCTGAGTCACTTACTTCTAGCTAAATAGAGGCACATTATGATATGCACAGTCATTTTGATCACTAAAAAAAAAAATCCTGATGCAGGCTTAGATGCAGGCTTAGATACAGGCTTCCAAGGTAAATTTTACCACATTAGAAAACCACAGTAATACTTGTGGCTGAAATAACTGGCTACATTTTTTCTCTTTTTTTCCCTTCTTGCTGGGAAAAAAAAAGATTTATGGGGTGCCACTTTCAACCTTTCATAATCTAAATCATTAAAGTTTTAGAAAATCCATGAAAGAAAATTATTTATCAGCAAATACATGTTGAACATGCACATACACTTTTATTAGAAAACCATTACAATGCAAGCCCATTTCTGAAATTATTTCACAAGGCAAACACTGTTAATAAATAAATCAACATTTCAGGACCAATGTCAATGAATAATATGATATTCACACTAACTGTGAAAAGTGTGACTGAAGGAAACAGGAAAAATGAGCAAAAAAATTAGTAAAGATTAGACTGTTTAGTTGGGCTTGAAGAAATATTTGAGCCTTTTTCTTGCTTAGAATAAATGTTTAAAAATAAACATAATAAGACTTGCAAAATACAAAAGATAGCCAGAGGCATGTTTTGTGATGCACATGATTTGCAAAAGAACATGCCACAGAAGTTCCAGCGTAATACCTCCCTCTTTGTTATAAGGAGAGTATGATTTAATTTCTAAAAATGTGATTTACATACAACTTTTCAACAACACATACATATTTCATAAAGGCAGACCTGTAGATTTATAAGCAAGTCAGATCATGTATCTTTCACTGCTGTTGCTGAGTGCATTTTAAGATATAATAATTTAAATGATCAGTTGAAAACCCTAGGCTTTGGTAAGAGATCTGCATATACATTGATGGAAAACAGGGGTTCTGAGCCTTTTTTCCATCATGGACCCCTTTAGCAGTCTGGTGAAGCCTATGAACCCCTTGGAATTAGGTTTTTAAATGAGTAAAATAAAAAACTTAGACTTACAAAGGAAACCAATATATTGAAGTACAATTATCAAAATATATTTTTATTTTAAGTTCACAAAATCCAAGTTAAAAACCACTCTTCTAAGAGGACCACTTGGTGGTCATAATTCATATGGTTATCATTTGTAATCAAATAATTGGAAGCTTATGGTCTTAGAGCTAAGTCTCTTTGAATGGAAAATGAATTTGTAAAAATCCTGATAAGAAAAAGGAGTTTTGCAATTTCTATTTATTTTTGAATCACCAATAAGCAACAAACATGAAGGTTAGCTTACATACATCATGTTGTCGATGTTTGTGTATGAATGTTCATCGAAGCCTGGATTACTTCTGTTTTCCTTCTGTTTTTCCTTCTCTTCCTCTTCTTGAAGTTTTCTCTCAGCCTCTTCTTTCTCTTTGGATCTTTTGAGGCAATAAGCCTTTTCCTGCTCTCTGATTTTTTGTTCAATTACTGGGTAGTTCTGCAATGCCTTAATCCTCTCTGATCGTTCTATTTCCTTGCCATCCAAACGCTTATAAGAAAATTATAGTCATAATCATAACAATAATAATAACAAAATGATTATTCAAAAGTAGCAATTCAAACCAACTTTATGTGGACCTTGGCTGGAATATTTTAACTACATGAGTGTGTCATAACAGTGACATAATTTAAGTAATGCATAAAAAATAATTCTAGTGGCTCCACTAGGTATTCAAAGTCCTTTACAAATTTATCCCCTTCCTATCTTTTTGTCTTCTTATACTTTAATCCCCTCCAGGTACTCTGCAATCCAATGACATTGGCCTCCTATCTGGTGCTCACACAGGACACTCCATCTTCCTATACCAACTGTTTTTAAGGGCTGTTCCCCAGGCTAGGAACACTCTCCCTCCTCATCTCTGCCTCCAACTTCCATGGCTTCCTTCAAGTCCGAGCTAAAGTCTCACCTTCTGGAAGAAGCCTTTCCCAGGCCTCCTTAATACTACTACTGCCTTCTTCTGTGACTATTCCCCAATTTATAGACCTTGTTTATACATAGGTGTGTGCATGTTGTCTCTCTCATTAGACTGTGAGCTTCTTGAAAGGACTGTTTTTTTGCCTTTCTTTGTATCCCCCAAATTCAGCACACACATTGCCTAGCATATTGTAGGTGCTTAATAAATGCTTACTAACTGATTGACAAAATATTTAATCTTCTGATGAATATTTGATACTCATCAGATACACCAGCTAAGAGGAATAATTTAATGTTCATTACATATTATTAAAACAATCTAGTTTGCTAATTCTCTTTACCAGTAATAATGTTAAATTAACACTTCTGTCAGCGATTAGGTCTGTTTCATTTTCTTCATGTCTTTATAAAGTCTAGGTTTTAAAATAGTATAATATGAATACATATTGATATATTTAAACAATTGACTTTTTCCTACTCTTTGGAAGTGTGTTCTGAAGATAGTTTTCAGAATTCCATTATTGAGAACTTGCCATCTCTTTTGTCTTATTTCTGCTGTAGAATTTTAGTCCAGAAGCCAATTAACAAGTAGTTGTTAGGTGTCTGCTACATGCCAGGAAGTGTGCTCAAGCACTGGGGATATAAGGACAAATATGAAATAGTCTTTGTCTTAAGGAACTTAAAATCCTATAGGAGAAACAGCCTGTAAATATATTTTTAAATGCAAGGGAAATTTAGGAAAGAAGCACCAGCAACTGGAGGGAATCAGAAAAGACTTCACATAGCAAGGAGTATGAACTGAGCTGGGAGAAGAGTGAGGTAGAAGTGCATTCCAATTAATCAATCAACTAATAAATATTAAGTTCCTACTATGTGCCAGTCACTGTGCTAAGTGCTTTACAAATATTACCTTACTTGATTCTCACAACAACCTTTTAAGGTAGGTACTGTTATTATTCCCATTTTAATGTTAAGGAAACTGAGGCAGACCAAGGTTAAGTGACTTGCCCAGGGTCAAACAGCTAGTAAGTGTCTAGAGCCAGATTTGAATTCAGGTATTCCTGATTCCAGGTCCAGTATCCTATCCACTGCATCACCTAGCTGCTGGTCCGGTTAAGTATATTGGTAACACTAATAGCTGGCTAAGTTGCCAAATCCAAAATGTAATCATTAATGACCTGATATCAACTTGAAAGCAAATCTCCAGGGTAATGATCCAGGAAATGTCACTTGGCCCTGTGCTGTTTAACTTTTAACTTTTTTTTTTCAATGATCTGAATAAAGGTAAAGATAGCCTGCTTGACAAGCTAGAACAGCCCAAATAAATAATATGCAGCCTAATGGCAATAAATGTATAATGTGAAGTTTTGCCTTGGGTTCAAAAAATCAACTTCATAAGTATGACACAGGGGAGCAGAGGGACAGCAGTTTGTATGAACAAAGATCTGTGAATTCTAGTGGATTTCAAACTCAAGATAAGCCAAAGATGTCACGAGACAGCCAAGAAAATAAATGCTACCTGAGGTTGCTATAACAAAGATATAGGTACCAGAACAAGGGAAGTTTTGGTCCCCTTGTCCTCTGACTTAGACCTCATCTGGAGTACTGTGTTCAAATCTGGGTGCCATGTGTTAGGGAGAGCATCAGTAAGTCCTATGAGAAAAGAACCCAGAGAAGGGCAACCAGGATAATGAAAAGCTCAAAGTCATGACATAGAAGGATCAGTAAAAGAAGCAAGAGATGTTTAGCCTGGAGATTTTCAAGAAGAATGATAATTGTCTTTGAGTGTTTTCTGCTCAGCCTCAAAGAGTAGAACTAGGAATGAGAGATGAAAATTGCAAAGGTAGATTTTAGGTCAATGTAAGAAAACAGTTCCTAACAATTAGTCATCCAAAAGTGAACGGACTGTCTTGGAAGGAACAGGGTTACTCCTAACTACAGGCTGAGGCTAGACTAGATGGTCTTTGAGGTTCCTTCCAATCCTGCTATTCTATAATTTTGTGATTTTCTTAAATTAATGAATAGCTGCAAACACTGAGTCACTTAGAAGATGTTGTTCGGATACTACAGGACCCTGGAGGTATTAAGCTAGTTAATAGAAATGTCATTGGCAAGAAAAGGCTATGGCAAAGTTAGGACCAGGAGGTCAGACTTGTTGGGTCTCGGTAAGATATGGTATAAGTTGAGAAAAGAATCCCTACACAGAGGTTTCTTTTTATATATTTCATACTCCGCAAAGTTTCTGAGGCAAAATCTGGCATCCTGCCTCTTAAAGGAGCCCTGATGACCAATAATCCCCTGGGGGAATACAAGCCTCAATCGGCCAGTACTGGCTACAGTTTGTGGTCTGAATGTGGGATAATTTCCAGGGAAACCAGGGAAATATAATTTCTCTAATGGCCTGAGAATGCTCTCCAGCCGGAGGCTATCATGGGAAATTAATTTTAAAATGAAGCCAAAAAAGGGAAGACATCAATCACACTCAAAACATTAAAAGAAAAATCAACATTATGGCTCATAAAAAATAGTTGCACCAAGAAATTCACTCTAATCAAAGCTGTCAAAAGTCACATAAAAAATCATTCTAAACCACTACTGATTAGAGAAATGGACATTAAAACAACTCTGAGGTAACTATCAGATTGGCTAACATGACAGAAAAGGGAAAAAAAAATTTTAAAAAAATGACAGAAAAGGAAAATGATAAATGATGGAGGGGATGTAGAAAAACTGAGACACTAATACTTTGCTGTTGGAGCTATGAACTGGTTCAACCATTCTGGAGAACAATTTGGAACTACACCCAAACAGTGTATACCCTTTCATCCAGCAATACTGCTACTAGGTCTGTACCTAAAAGAGATCAAAGAAAATGAAAGTTTACCTATATGTACAGAAATATTTATAGCAGCTCTTTTTGTGGTGGCAAAGAATTAGAAATTGAGGGGACAAATGGGAAAATGGATGAAAAAGTTGTGGTATATGATTGTGATGGAATACTATTGTGGTAGAAGAAATGATGAGCAGGATAGTTTCAGAAAAACCTGGAAATACTTATACAAAATGATCCAAAATGAAGTGAGCAGAACCAGAAGAACATTGTACATAGTAAGAGCAGTATTAAATGGCCGATCAACTGTGAATGACTTATGTACTCTGATCAAGACAATGCTCCAAGGCAATACCAAAGGAACAATGATGAAAAATACTAACCATCTCCAGAGAGAAAATTGATGAACTGAGTGCAGGCTGAAGCATTCTTCTTTCACTTTATTTTTCTTGCTTTGTTTGTTTGTTTTTGCAACATGATTAATATGGAAATATGTTTTGCATGACTTCACTCTATAACTGATAGCATATCACTTGCTTTTTCAATGGATGGGGTGGGCAGGAGGGAAAGAGAATTTAGAACTCAGAATTTAAAAAAATGAATGTTAAAAATAAATTAAAAATTAAAAAATAAACCCACTCTAGAGGAATATTCATAAAATGGAACTATTCCTGAAGGACACAGCACGATTCTATCTACAAATGCATTTAGAGACATCTCCCTCCCAAATGGTCATACGGGCTACTCGTGCCCCACCTGTGGTAGAGCCTTGCAAGCTAGTATTAGTATGATCAACCCCAGAAGACACACTATACATTGACCTTGACAATGTGAGATTATTTTGGTCCTCTCTGAGCACAAAGGACAAACATCTACAACATCTACAAATGTATACCATTTGGTATACAAATTAAAAAACCTTGAAAATTCAATAATTTCTCAGAGCAATATAGCATAATAATTTACATACATTATAATGCTGCTATAAGAAAAGGTCAAATTATGTTTATTATATTCTATTTAATAAAGCAGGGAAATATATACTGCCTTTAGCATGGTTTCCATAAAAAATTGTCAAAATACAAAAAAGTTTCAATCCTTAAAGGTCATAAACTTCAGTTATCTATATGACCCACCTATGCAGAAGATCTCATCCACTGACAAAACTGAAAAATTAGCATTACTCTAATTTTTAAATTTTAGAATTTTATGTGATTGTCAGTCAATAAAAAAGCATTACTATTTGGAAGGTACTATGCTAAGTGCTAGGGATACTTAAAATAAATAAATAAAGGCAAAGGACAATTCCTGCCCCGAAGGATCACACAAACAAATGGGGGAGACAACAAGCAAACAAATATGTATAAACCATACAAATAGGAAATAATTAACAGAGGGAAGGCACTAGAAATAAGAGGGATTGGGAATGGCTTTATAGAGAAGGCTTTTTTATAGAAGACTGGATTTTGGCTGGCACTTAAAGGAAGCCAGGGAAGCCAGCAATAGAGATGAGGAATGAAAGCATTCCAGGTATGGAGGTCAGCCAGAGAGAATACCCAGAGTCAAAAGGTGGAGTGTCTCATTCATGGAACAGCCAGAAGGCCAGTGCCACAGGATCAAAGAGTACATGGCAGTATGGGGCAAGGGGGCTGGGGTGGGATAAAGTATAAGAAGATTTGAAAAGTAGAGCAAGGGGGTAGGAAGAGAATCTGGGTTAGGAAGAGTTTTGAAAGCCAGAGGACTTTGTATTTGATCCCAGAGGTGAATGGGAGCCAGTGGTGTTTGTTTATTCAGTAGGGGAGAGACATGGTCAGACTTGCATTTTAGGAAAATCACTTAGACAGATGAATAGAATCTGGACACAAGTGGGAGAGACTTGTGGCAGGCAGATGCACCAGCAGTCCAGGTGTGAGATGATGAAGCACCAGGGTGGTGGCAGTATCAAAGGAGGGACAGAAGGGGGCATGTTTGAGAGATATTACAAAAGTAAAATCAACAAGCCTTGGCAACAGATTGGGTATGTGGGGTGACAGAGAGTGAGAAGTCAAGGATGACATTTATGTTGTGAGCCTGGTGGACAAGGAGGATGGTGTTGTCCTAGACAGCATAAGGAAAATTTGGAAGATGGGAAGGTTTGGGGAGAACTATAATGAGCTCAGTTTAGGACACCGTACTGAAGTATTTAGAAACATTAAAATATTCATACTTGCAATTGTTGAAGAGTAGCAACCACAAACTCTCTGTATCCTTCAAAGTCTGCACATGGATTACCCATAAGAAAAATTTCTTTAAGATGTATATTATGCTGAAGAATTTTAATGCTGCTCAATTCTCCAACAAAATTTACTGTCAGATCCAGTTTTTCCAATCCTTCACATCCTGTTGGGGGGAATGGTGAAACAATACCAAGTGGTAAGGAAAGAAGGTAAGTAGCAAAGAACGCATGGGCTTGGGTATAGTATCAATACAGCCATAACACTTATAAACCACTGCTTATCTATTAGTTAACTTTCTAAATTTATTAAGCATCTCCTTTGAGCAGACCATTATACCAAGTGCTAGAGGAAATAGAGAAGTCACAATCACTGACCTCAAATAGCTCATAGACTAGGAGGGGAATAAAACACACAGAAATCTATAACACACCATAACATATGATAAATGCATTAGAGAGTTGCAAAACAAAGTGATTTGTGAGTTACAAAAGGTGAAAAGTCATTCATTCCTTTAACAAAAATTTAGTGTATTTTGTGTGCAGAACACTGTTAAAATAGAGTTCCTACCTTCACTGAAATCACTACCTAATGAGGGACAGAATATGAACACATATAACTATAATACCCCAAATAATCCACGACCCAGGGTCTCACAAGAAATCTGGCATAACACAGATCAAGTCAATCCAACTTTTACCCAAAGTAGGTCTTTAGATTCAATGTCCCCATTAAGAGCATAACTCTAGGAAAAACTGTTTATTCATATCCTTTACCTGCTAATCCATTAGAAAGGGGCTCTTTGTCTTCTACCTTTATCACTTCTCTATATAAAGCTTAGATATTATTCTATCAGAGATTTTTAATGAAAATATTCTTGTCATTCAACAGCTTCTTTTTTAATTCTCACTGCACTGCTTTTATTCTGACAAAAAAAACCTTCAAAGTTCATAAAAATCAAAATTCATGATTCAAACTGGGCTTGCAGTCCACTAAAACCCCCAAGCTTTTTGCCAAACTTCTGTCTAGCCACACTTTTTCACACTTCTTATGTGGTCAATTATTTGACTCCAAATGTAAGTTTTTACATTTATCCCTATGAAATTTTACTTTAGTAGTCTCAGTCCAGTGTTATCGCCTGTTGAAAGCATCTTGGGTCTCCTCCCTACCAATTGTCATTGTCAGGGGAATAATAAGAAGCATAATTATTTTGCATCATCTTGATAGACTAACAACTTAGAAATCCCCCAACCACCTGGAAGCCAAATAATGGAGTCTAAAGATAAATTTTAAAATGACAAACTATGCAGCAAACAAGAATGCTACAAAGATTCTTCAATAAAATCTGCAGCAATAATAAAGATATTTATCTATGTACAGTATCCACAATAGACAACTTAAGTAAATAAAAATGCATATTGGACACCTTATGACATGAACCTGGATGGCCATTCTGTCAGGTTAATCCATCAATATCTATATGGTAGTCAAACAATTTACATGGATAGCAAAGAGGGCCCACAATTGAAATGAGAAGGGAGATAGAACAGGACTGCACTGAGAAAACTGTGCAGTATTTCAATGATTCCAATTGTTCACTGCCACAAAACAAACAAAACCCATCACCAAAATTCTCTTAGTGATGCTAGATAGTTGGAAAATCATTTTTAAAAAAACAGGATCTTAGGGAAAAAATAACAAATGACTAAAAGAGTAATTAAAAGATGTAATGTGGATATGAGTAGGCTGCAACATGTTATCAACAATTTCCTGTATGCAGGAAGTGGAATAAAGTATTGATGCAAGACATGTGTAAGCTGGAAGTTATCAGGAAAAAAAATAGATGACAAGCCCAAGTAGTGCATAGGTACTCTAAAAATGCTAAGAGAATTAGAGGAAGGCCTCCAGCACATCAGGTATATCCTCTATGGAAGGCTTAGAAAATGATACTGACAAGAATTACACAGGATAAGATACAGACATGAGATCTGTGAGATGGAGAGAGAATCCATATCAAGAAATCACAAATCCACTAAAAAGCACCAACAAAAGTATCTCACATTTCTGGTGTGCTTCATAACTGCTTAATGGTTTATTCACAACAACCTTATTAGGCAGAGATACTGATATTATTTTATTCATTTTACATTTACTGAAGAAACTAAGGCTCAAAGATAAAGTGACTGGCCCAAAGTGATAGACTTCATTCCCTGATAATGCTGGATAAATTACGTTACTAACATATGAATAGAGTCTGCCTTAAATAAACTTATAATCTCATAGGGAACAACAGGTAATTTACATGAGACAGGTTACAACAGAAAGTGATGCATTCCTGACTACCTACCAATTGTAAATAGGATTAAAACATACTAGCTAATGTCATTTCTGCCATCAAAGTCTCCACCCTGCACAGGCTTCAGAGAAAAATGCAGAACAGAGATCAGGGACTATGCAAGTTGTGGGGCAAAGAGATAAAGCAATGATAGCAGAATGAAAGGAAATTTCTAGTCTTCTAGATGGTCATTTTTGAGTTATTTATGATTTAAGTCTATTTAGTATTACATTTCTCTTGAATTCTTTTGTCAACACAAATGGAGTTTTGATGGAATTGTAAATCCATTGTTAAAAGTAGTAATAGCTCACATTTACGTGATGCTCTAAGATTTAAAATGTTTTACTTGTATTATCTCATCTATCCTCATAACAACTCTATGAAATAGGAATAATTATTAGCATCATTTGACTAGTAAGGATTCTGAGAGGAGTTAAGTGACTTGCCCAAAGGTCACATAGTTAGTAAGGGTCTGAGGCTAAGATGAGTCCCTCCTGATTCCTATTCCAGAACTCAACCAAGTATACCATGCTACCTTCTGTAGATGATTATTCTAGATAGGAAAATTAACATGGACCTACTAGAATGTTGTGACCCAGAATATGATCTATAAATGTTTATTCCTTGTAATGAGGAAGATGATGATGATGATGATAATCATCAAAAAAGGGAGGCTAGCCCTAAAAGAGTGTTAGGCAGGTGAGAATTATCATAATATACATAAAGTATTATTCAATTCATAAAAAATAGGTTTATACCCTATTTTTAAGAAATATGTTTAAAGAAGCAACATGTTCTAGTAGAAGGAACACTAAATTTAAGAATCAAAAGTCCAGAATTCAAGTTCTAGCACCACCACTTTCCTTCCCTGTGAGCGAGGGCAAGTCATGTAACTTCTGTAAGCCTCAGTCTCCTCATCTGTAAAATGGAAACATTATTATACCTGCATTATTGGTCTCATAAGGTTATTGTGATGAAAATACTTTGCAAATTATAAAAGTTATTAAATGCGATTAATTTAATGTATAACATATATAATATATTATATAACTAATGTAATATAATATATGTATATATAACATATAACATAATGTAATACAACATACATGTATATAATATATATTATATATAATATATAACATAATGTAATATATAATTATATATGTGTGTGTGAAATATAATTATAAAAAGGTAAGCATATCAATATTAAGAGGACGCATGACATGGTAAGAATACTAGACTGAGTCCAGAAGACTTGGGATACAGTCTACATTTGATAAACACTGACTGTGGGATGATGTGTAAGTCTCTTAACCTCTCAGTATTCCAGGCAACTAAGAAGATAAGTCACCAAACATTTTCTGATCTGTACTGGTGAGGGAGATACTCTCTGTCTGACCTCAGGCGAGTCCCTTAACCTTCCTGGGTCTCAGTTTCTGTATATGTAAAATGAGGAGTTTGGTCCCTTCCAGCTCTAAATCTATAACTTTATGATCCTATAAATTCACATGTTGATCAAATTCATTCTTCCCCACCACTAAATTAAAAAAAAAAACTGCCACCCTGTATCTTTAAGTTTACAATTATACTGAATTACTTTTCCATATATATAGTTTTATCACAATTCTACTCAGTATGCTTGAAGTACAATTTTTAAAAACACAACAACCAAACTCTAGGGATTCTAAACCTGGGGTGTACATTTTTTGAATAACAATAGCTAGCATTTATATTGTGTCTACTATGTGCCAGGAACTGTGCTAAGCATTTACATATGTTACTGCCTCTGACCCTCACAACTGGGAGGTAGGCGCTTATTATTATCCCTATTTCACAATTGAGAAAAATGAGGTAGACAGCAGCTAAGTAATATACCCAGCTAGTAAGTGTCTGAGTTTGGATTTGAACTCAGATCATCACGATTCCAGGCCTACCACTCTATATACTGCACCAACAAATTACCTTTTTTAATGTTTTGGTAACTGTATTTCAATACAATTAGTTTCTTTGGTAATCTTATGTATTGTATTGTATTGTATTTTATGCATTTAAAAATATAATTCTAAGAAGAGGTGCCGAGGCTTTACCAAACTCTCAAAAGGTTCCATGACATGAAAGAATTCAAGAAGCCGTGCTTTAGGTCTGTCCTACAACTGATATTGAGCCCTAACAACTTAAAAAACCTGGGAGCTCAAGAAAAACTCCATCAAGTCTTAGATGTATTGAAAAGTCATGGTCCATGACTGAAATGTTAGTAAAAAAATAATACTTTAAAGTGAAAAAAATATTATCATTAAAATAACTAAAAGTTTCTTAGTGACCAAATTTGTTTATGCTTCTTGTTTTTAAAATATTTATTTTCAACATTGGAGAGAAAAATCTTACCTTCCAAATTTTCAATTTTTTCAATGTTGTTCAAAGCTAAATTCAGATACTGTAACTTCTTTAGTCTGCTAATATTTTCTGAAATAAACCAAGAATTAAATTAGCTTTGATTATAAAACAACTTTTTGCACACATCAAATGGTGCACACAGACAGGTCTGAAGTCACTGCAGCCAGCATGAGAAGTGCTTAAGGATGGCGACAGAGTCATGATCCCTTGTCACAAGAGCCTCCAAGCTGCAGCTAGGTCCTAAGATCATAGTCAACCAAGTCTAACCACTTTATTTTAGAAATTAAGTGACCTGCCCAAGATCACAGAGCTAGGAAGTCTCTGAGGTGGGATTTGAACCCATGTCTTCCTGACTGCACAAGCAGGACTGTCTCCATGACATCATGCTATCTCTATCCATAATTACAAGGTATCAGTTAATAATTATATCGAGAGCTTTTCAGATTTTACTTCACATGACAATATAAAGCTAGAAAATTCTGCCAAAATATAAACATAAAAGATTCACTGGAATACTTCCTCAAATGAGGCATCATGTGAAAACACTTTAATAAAGTTTAAAAATGTTAGCAAAACACATAGATTCCCTTGGATGTTGGGAATTCCTAGTCATCATAGATCATCAAGTGAAAGCTAGAGTCTAACAGCTAGGTAGAGTTAACAATTTGACTAAGGGTGGGATTAGATGTCCTCTGAGGTCCCTTTCAATGCCAAGAGTCTATAATTGTATATTTTTAGATCATAAGTGTACATAAATCACTAGTTTATAGTCATAGTTCAAAGACAGGGGTTAGAATTCTGGATCTGTTATAACTTGTTTGATATTGGGCAAGTCATGTGCCTTTGCTGGGTTTCAGTTTCCTCATCTATAAAATGAAGGGATTAGACCGGATGACTTGCGAGGGCTCTTTCAGTTCTAAATCTTATGTCAGACTATTGCCCACTAGTTGCAAATATTTGCACCTATACCTATACATAATTTTCCCTATTGAATATACAAAATAGCTATAAAAAGTAATATTGTAACATTCATTAAGCACCCACAAGTATATGTTATCTTCAAAATGAAAATGTGGGTTTAGATGTTTTAGGAAGATTAACTTCACCGAGGTAGGAAACAGAGGCTGTCTTTTTTTTGTTCACAAAACTAAAGTTACTAACTTGATGACAGTAGTGCACAGGCTTTGAATCGGTTTTGAATAAAGATGGTGGGTGGATGTTCTACCACCACATGCTCTATTTTTCCTCACTGTAAGAGATACTAAACATTTTCCAGAGCTGACTACGAGTTAGGACTATAATCTCTGGCAGTTTGGCAAAGTAAATAAAATGGTCTGTAGAGGGATTTGACCCTCAGCCTATGCCTCATTATCATAAATGTCCTCATTTAGTAATGTAATAGTGATAAATAATAATAAGTTATTACTTAACAATAACTTAATGCAAGTTTAAACATTATTTTTCAAACATTACTGTTCTCATTTAAGTATTACTGTTCTCAACAGTATTATTTTCATAAAGTAAGTTAGCTCATAAAAAGCAAACAATATTTTGTCACTTAATGAAAAGATAAGCTACTTTTTAAAGTGTACCTTAGTTTTGTTTTGAAGTTAGCCAAACAATAAAAAGAATTACTTGTTTTAGAAACATATAGACCTAGCTTCTAAATTCTATGTAATAATGGTTAACATTTACATAGGGCTGTATGACTTATCAACTGCTTTTCTTACAACCAGCCTATGAGAGGAATAGGGTAAGTAGTATTATCCCGACTTCACAAAGGATGACATTGACGCACAGAGAAGTAACGTCACTAGCACAAGATCAACAGCTTAGTAAATGATGGAGTCAGGACAGGAAGTGAGGTATTTTGGGCCTAAGTCCAATCTTTCCACTATATTGCTTCTCAGCTTAAAAATCACATAAAATCAGTAAACATATGAGTTTATGCCTAGGTCGTCACTGAATGACTATAAATATTTTTAACTTACATGTTGTAATCACCTATTACAGAGAGCTATAAGAAGGCATAACCTACAATCTAATATATCTTCACTGACATTTGAAAATTCTGATGCAAGTGAGAAACTCTGTACCTTCCAAATTAACAGTGAGACTTCTGATAGACTGCTTAATGGTAAATGCTGCTATGATCCCATTTGTCAAAAAATCTTAGCCTCTTTAAGGAACCTTCCTCGGAAGTTGGAATCTGCTCCATAGGTGATAGTGTCATTGAAGGGTGCTGAAGAACATGCAACAATCCAAGTAAGACAAATGTATACATACATCTAGGAGTGAGGGAGGGAGACCAACTAGTGGACAATAGTCTGACCTAAGATTTAGAACTGAAAGAGACCTTATAAGTTACCTGGTCTAATCCCTTCATTTCATAGATGAGGAAACTGAAACCCAGCAAAGGCACATGACTTGCCCAAGATCAAAAAAGTTATAACAGATCCAGAATTCTAACCCCTGTCTTTGAACTATAAGGAGATGAGGGTCTTAACTTAAGCTCTGAAGATGAAAATAGAAGAGGAAACAGATATAAGAGGCATTATGGTGGGGTGGGGAGGAATCAGATTGAATGTAATGACTGAGTGGATATGGAGGCAGGTGAAGGTTGAAGTCATAAGTAACTCAAGTTTTGATCCTGGGTAACAGGCAAAATTAACAGAAATAGGAAAGTAAGAAGGGGAAACAGTTTGGGAAGCAAGATGAGGGAGTGGATTTCCAGATATGTTGAATTACTGTGGAATACTGAAGTTGAAATGCCAAGTAGGCTGTTGGAAATGAAAAACAAGAACTCAAGAGACAAATAAGGGCTGAAGAACAAAAAGTGGGAATTGTCAACATGGATGTGAATGCTAAAGCTGGGAACTAGATGAAATAACGTAAGTAAAAAATGCAGTTGAGAAAAATGCAGAGAAACAAGAAAAATACCCAGATTGGGGAAAGGACTCTGTGTGTGTGTGAAAGTCAAAAGAGTGAGTTAGGGATACAGGAATAATTACAGATGTAGAAGTAAATCCAAGGTAGTATGTCATCCTGGAAGCCAAGGGGTATGTCAATGCCACAGAACAGTCAAAGAAAATGAATAATGATAATAGACCACTGCTCTATTCTGGTGATTAGAAAGGCCTTTATCACAGGATTTAGGGTTGAAATGATCACTAAAAGTACAGTTTTATTGGAACAGTGGGGACAGAACCAGACTCAAGAGGGTTAAGAAAAGAGCCCCATTATGCAAAGGAAAAAATAACAAAAACTTGTGCAGTTAAAAATATTTGAAAGCAAAAATTGAAACTTTTCAAATTCTAGAAAGGCTTCGTACTGTTCATTAGTTTTAAAAGAACCAGCTGTGGAAATGAAGAAACTGAGAAACTATTTTAAATCTGTACAATTAGTACTAAACTTCAATGTCCCAATGCATAAAGGCTGGTGATTTGATGTAACAGCCTTTTAATTCAACTATGTGCCAGAACTTCTAATTTCTAGTAAAGATCCTTGAAATAATTATCTAAAGAAATCTGGAAGATTTCAATGTCTAGTAAAAAGGAATGCAAAGTCTAAGTTTTCAGCAAATAATTCTAAATTATTCATATATGACAATGCCAACAGAAAAACCCAAATTAAAAAATTTCTTACTGTATATACTCCAGACCCCACAAAACCCCAAAACCTCTCTCCTAAGTCAATATTTACACTAATAGTCAGAACCCACAGCATACTTGTTAACATGTGTGGCACAGTTGACATCTTGAGCCTTCCCTGTTCTCAACCTCAATAGAAATCCTTGCTTCCTCACCTGAACTAACAAAATATTTCATTCTTCACTTACTGTAATTTAATAATGAACTTTTCTGAGTAATTATTTGAGTTTATATCTAACTCACACATCTGTATACTCCATGTATACTGATGTAGCAACCATCTCTTTTTTGTGTATTCACCAGTGTGACTTGCCTTGGACATAGTGAGTACTCATGACCCAGATGAAATTTTTTCTCCTAGAGGGCCAACCCCACCAGCTAGAATTGACTTCTCTCTTCTGATCTCACTGCATTTATATTCTAATAGCACACCTGATCTATTATGTATGCATATTCTAATTTGGATTCCATTTATCTTAGCTTAGTTACTTATCTGATTTGCTGCACTGGACTGTAAGCCTCATGAGAAAAAGTAAGTTTTTTTACTTGTCTTCATATAACCTCAAGTGCCTAACATATACTTTATATGACAACTTCCAGGATATATTACTTTATTAGTGAAGGTACTCCCTCATTAATTAAAAAAAAGGCAACTCACCCCTTCTGTGTATTAGTAAGATCTTAAGTTGCTGCGACAAACCAGTGATTAATCTAGTGATAAGCCTCTTTGAACTTAAAAACACTGGTCCTCAGAAAACATATATAGAGAGAGAATGTATTATACATATATGTACATTGTGTATGAATATACATATACACACATAGGCATACATATATATATATATATACACATTGTGCTGCATATGTGTGTATGTATGTATATTTGTATTTATTATAAAGTCTGCTGCAGAACTCATATCCAAAACCTCTGCAGCTTAGTAATATGAACCTACACTGGCATAATCTTTGAGAATTAGTCACCTCCACACCATAACGAACCATTTGAGTAGAGCTTTAAAAAGAAAATAGCTCATCTTAGCTGCTTAATAAACACTTCCTGCTTCTCATCATTTCCATCTTCATTTGGGCAATAAACTTAATATTAGTAGTAATGACAATAAAGTATTCTGTGACAATCAAAGAACTGCTACTATTTCTGTTGGCATTACACACCTCACCCAGTTCCTCCATATTCCCTTGGCCTAGTAAAGTGGTGTAAACATTTGGATAACCTCAGGTACATATCATTTTTAATAACTAAACTTTCTACCAAAGCTACATGAAGTCACATCAAAAACTCAAGGCTACAAATAGCCAAATGAGTTTCATATTATTTTTCTACCTTTGTAAACTCTCTGATGAACGATATGACATACAGCTGAACTGATTAATGGATGGCAAAGGGAGATAATAAATTCAGTAATCAATCCCTGAATAAAAGAGTTGTCTAAGCTTGTGCTTTGAGTTCTATTTTCTTATTCTATATAAAAGATTGATTCTTCCTTTGAGAAAGTTTTCTAATTCAAAAATGCTAAGGAAATTGAGAGAAAATTATCAAAAACTTACCAATTTTTGCAATGAGATTGTTTTGAAGGTAGAGAATTTTTAAATCCTGACACCATTTGTCAATATTTTCTAGTTTTTGAATTTCTTGTTGGTGCAAGGAGAGTTCCTCCAAGGAAAAAATTTCAGAGTCGTTATGTTCTGCATTTCGCCTAATAAGATCTTCAGTAACTGAAAAACAATTTGTCATTACTGTACATATTTCATTCAAAATGATTTACTATTTACTGAATTATAAAAAGAATAGTTTACCTTTCAACTAAAAAAATCAATTCTTTACCCTTAAGAAATTCTCAAGTAGATGAAATGGAAGAGTATTATAATTGAAGTACATAACACTAACGTGTAGGTGCCCAACAGTTATTGTTAGCTATTGTGTAAAATGAAGAAATTAGGATCTGTAGAGCAAGTGAATATGATACCATCATCTTCAGTCAGTCAATTATTAAGTGCTACTTACTACGTACCAGGCAAGGTGCCACTTGCTAGGGAAACAAAGAAAAGTAAAACACAATCCCTGATTTTGAGGAGCTCACAATCTAGTGTAGAAGACAACATACAAATAACTATTTACAAAAAGGAAATATGCATGATAAATTGGAGATAATCAATACAGGGAAAGCACCAGTATGATGGGGGTTCAGGAAAGGCTTCTTGTAGACAGCAAGACTTGAGCTGAGACTTGAAGGAAGCCAGGAGACAGCGATGAGGAGAGAGAGAGTTCTAGTCATGGGAGCATGGAGTCAAGAGATGGAGCAACTTGCAGGAAGAACAACAAGGAAGCCAAAGTGGCTGGACAGCAGAGTACACACGGTGAGAAGGGAGGAGGTGTTTAAGGTTTAAGACAGGGAAGGTAGAGGGGACCAGGTTACGGAGGCCTTTGAAGAAAGGACAAGAAAAACGAGAGTTAAGACCTAGAAATTTAGCAATCAGTGAATTGACAAGCATTTTTTAAGTGCCATGTGTGAGGCACTAAGTGCTTCAGATACAAAGAAAGGCAAAAACATAGGCCCCATCCCAAGAAGTTCATACACTAATGGTGGACCCAACATGAAAACAACTACATACATTAAAAGATATATTCAGAATAAATGGGAGGTAAAGATACTGGCAGTGGCAGCTGGGGGATGGTGATATGGGAAAGACTTCTTATACAAAGTAAGATTTGAGATAAGTCTTGAAGGAAGCCTGAGATGAAGTCAGGAGACATACGTGAGGAAGGAGAGCATTCTAGGCATGGGGGACAGCCAGTGAAAGGCAAGAAGATGAGATATGGAATGTCATACAAGAAACAGCAAGAAGACCAGAGTCGCTGAATAAGAGGAGTGGTGTCAAGTGTAAGAAGAATGGGAAGGTAGGAAGGGGCCAGAATGTGAAAGGATTTAAATGCCAAACAGGATTTAATATTTTATACTGGAAGTAACAGGGAGCCACTGGTATTTACTGAGTAGCAGAGTGATAATGGTCAGATCTGAACTTCAGGGAAATCATTTGGGAAGCTGAGCAGAGGATCAACTGGAGTGGGAAGAGATTCCAGGGCAAGGAAATCAGGGAAAGGCAGAGAAAAGTAAACTATTACAATAGTGCTGGTGTGAGATGATGGGAACATCGGTATGGTAAGTACAAGTGAGGAGCTGAGGGTGACATCTAGCTTGTGAGCTCTGGAGACAAGAAGGATGACAGTGCTTTCAACAGAAATGGGGAACTTCAGAAGGCGAGAGGGTTTGGGAGGAAAATAATGAATTTTGCTGTGGACAAAATTAGCTTTAAATGTTTATGAGACATCCAGTTCATGATATTCAATAGGCAACTGGTGATGCAAAACTAGAGGTCATGAGAGAGGCTAGAGCTGGGTAAACTGATTTGAGAATTATCTGCACAGAGATCAACATTAAATCCATGGAAGTATATGTCACTAAAGGAGACAGAATAAAGGGAGAAGAGAAAAGGGACCGAGACAGACGTTTAGGGGACATCCACATTTAATGGGTATGCCCTAGATGAAGATCTAGGAAATGAGATTGAGAAGGAAGGGGTCAGACATGTAGGAAGAGATCCAGGAGAGAGCAGTCATAAAAAAAAAATCAGAGTATCCAGGAAAGGAGGATAGTCAACTGTGTCAAAGGCTGCAGAAAGATCAAAAAGGATGAAAGGAGGGCCATTAGATTTTGCAATTAATAGATCACTGTAACCTTGGAAAAGGCATCTCAGTTGAGTGATGAGGTCAGGAGCCAAACTGCAGAAAGTTAAGAAGAGAATAAGAGGAGAGGAAGTGGAGGCATTAATTGTAGACAGCTTTCTCAAGGAGTATGGCCACAAAAGGTAGGCGGCATACAGAATGAGAGCTAGTACAGATGGTCAGATCAAGTGAAGGTTTTTTAAGGATGAGGGTAGGAGAGATAGATGAGGGTGTATGTGGGCAATGGGGAAGCAGGCCATAGAGAGTGAAAATGAGTGAGAGAATAGGGATGATGAGTGCAGGATGGGCAAGCTGCTGCAGAAAGGCCAGATTGGGGTTAAGGATACATGGAGATGAGACTGCCTTAGCAAGAAGGGCCACTTCTTCATGTGAGACAGGGATGTGGGAAGAGATAGTAGGGAAAGATAGCTGAGTAATGGAAGATGAGGAGGAGAGAAGAGGAAGTTCTTAGCAAATAGTCTCAATATTTTCAGTTAAGTATTAAACAGGGTCCTCAGCTGAGGTGGTGGTGGAAGGAGATGCCATGGGAGGTTTGAGGTGCAATAAAAAGTTTTGGAATAGCTGCTGTGGTGGGTGTGAAAGGCAATAAATTAGGGAAGTGTAAAAGATTGCCTTACTGCAATGAGGACTCAGTTGAGATTACATAACATAAATTTGGAGTGGATCTAATCAGTACAATTTTGTGAGTTTTCTCCAGCTTTGTTCAGTAACATATGAATAGAAGCAAAAATAGAAGATGGTGAGAGTAATCCAAAGATAGGTCTTGGCAAGGCAAGATCAGGAACGGGATAAGAGGACAAGAGACTTCAGGGTAAAAGATAGCATCGAGTTTAACTGGTTCACCAAGGGTTCCAAATGGGGAAGAGAAGAGAATACAGCCAATATAGGGATGACTGTCTTGGAAAGAACTAAAGGCTAAAGAAACCAGGCATTACATTGAGTATGATGAACGAGTTTAGTGGGCACAAGGCAGAGGGAAAGATAGAATGATAAAAGATTGTGATCCAATAAAATAATTTCAGAGTTTATGTACATGGAAATGAACACTTCTGGGTAATAGGAAGACCAAGTATATTACCATATCTGTATATAACTTAGATGGAATAGAAAACTAGACTGTGGGAAATGAGTACATCAAGGAACAGGGAAGTTAGGGTGTTGGAGGGAATACCATTATCTATGCTGGATTCCCTAACAATGAGGGCAGAAATTGGGATATGAACTGTCATTATATTCATTGAGGATGGAAGGAGTGTTCGGGGAATTGATATATATTAGCTATCAGAATTTTGATTGGGTAATAAATATGTATTGAACAAACCTCAAAGGAGGAGAGGTTAGTGAATGATGATAGTAGTTGGAAAGTTTGGAAGTAGTGATGGTGAGCAAAGTGAGCTACAGTGATTATGCCAGAATAGATCAGGAAAAGTATTAATGTACATCTCCTAGGGTCCCACTGAAATTAAACAAGATAAATTTGTAGCAGTCTTAATCTCCATGCAGTTAAATGACTTCCTCCAGCTGCATTTAACAGCATATCAATAGGAGAGAAGGCAGATAGTATGAGTAACCCAAGTCTGGAAAAGGATAAGTAGTGATAGAACAAGGCAACCAGGGAGCCAAGGATAGAGAATGAACTGGGAGCTAATAGATGAATTAAGATAATAAATTTTCATGGAGGGTGCTTCAAAGAAGATGTGTCATTAATGATGTATGAAACAGTATTAGTGATCCAATAGAATACAATTAACACTGGCATAAGCCAAATGTCAAATGAAAGAAAAATATTAATTGGACTGAGCTGTTGCATGGGTTTACTTACTACTATCAGTAAGTACATGTGATAGATATTAAGCATATTAAAGAACTTCTTCACCTTGCCGTAAAGGAATTGTCTTCAGTGCCCTAAGTCTTATTAAGCTTCTAACACTTACCTCAACTTCCAGGAGAATAAAACTTTCAGCATTTCAGAGGGCAGGAGCCGAGATGGCAGAGTGAAAGCAGAGACTCACCTGAACTCTCCCCCAAATCTCTTCAAATACCTCTAAAAAGTAACTCTGAACAAACTCTAGAGTGGCAGAACCCACAGAGACAGAGTGAAGTAGATTTCCAGCCCAAGACAACCTGAAAGGTCGACAAGAAAGGTCTGCTGCACTGGCCTGAGAGAGGAGCACCCAGCACACAGTACCCAGCACAGACCTGACCTGAGCAAAGACAGAGCAGGCTTCAGGGGACTCATTCACCAGCAGTGGCATGTTCCAGTCTTCTCAGCCCACAGACACCAGAGACAACTTACAAGGTCAGCTGGAGGGGTCTATCTGAACTGGGAGAGAGAGAAGTAGTCCAGCGCATAGCAGCAGGGTGTGCAATACAGCCCTGGCACTAGCAAACCAGAAAAAGGCTTTGGCAGTGACTGAATAAGGAGCAGTCATGGCAGAGGAAGCACTGCACCTGGAGCTATTAGCCAACAGACTGAATGTTTGAAAGTCACCTATTGCAACTTCCCAGAACCAAGATGGAAGAGTAAGCATTAAGTAGCGCTCACCCTCCCTTACTGACCTTGAAAAACCCAGAGAATACTGCCCCAGGAAAAAGCCTGAAATAGGAGAGTCAGCAGAAAGACTAGATACATAGCCTTTTAGCTCCTGGGGCTAGGGGGATTAACAGGAAAGGTCCCTCTTGCTGTGGCTGAAGGGGACTCGTACAGGAAGGGAAGCATACCAGCAAGCCAGTGGCAAGCCCCACCTCATCCTTCCAGGAACCAGGCCCCTACCCCCCAGCACAAGTCGCCTGGGATAGTGCACTCTGTGCCCCAGAAGCAGAGATCAACTTTAAAAGCCAGAAAAAAAGGCAAACAACATGAGCAAGAAGCAACATAGAAAAACAATGACCATAGAAAAGTATCTTGGTGACAGGGAAGAAGAAAACACAAGTTCTGGAGATGATAACATTGTCAATATACCCACATCTG